CAGTGACGCAGGAGTCCGTTCTTATCATGCAATTAACGATATTTCTTGTTTCTTGTGCAGGTTGTGATGTTGACTTTGAAGAATGCGCCCGATTGGAAGGTTGTAACTGCGTGGAGGCTACTTGAATGCTTGAGGGTCAGAGCTAACACGGCTGTGTTGATTGCTGATTATTCGGGCAGTTGACGCGCGAGTGTCCGGATGTTCGACAGAGATGGCAGAACGGCGGTACGTATCTCTGTGTTTGATGCTCCCGGTGTCGGTTGTTGTTGTTGTGGCGCCTCTGAGTGTGAAAAGCAAACTCTGGTACTGATGCCCTTTTCTTGTGTCGTTCTTCGTGCAGGTCCATGTCTTATTGATCAGCATGAAGTTCTGCGCAGAGGCTTGCTTCAAAAATTCTTCCGTGGCGCCGGAGAATAGCTCGGGTGGAACACCATTGGGGACCGAGGCCTGCAAGGACGACGGTGACGAAGGCGTCTTCGGATAGTGCTCCGCCGCACCGAAGGAGTCTGTCGCGTAGACCGCGACAGCGGCTGACATAGGCCATTGCCTTTTCGCCGAGTTGCATCTGAACTGTTGTCAATTGCGCCATGAGACGACTCTGATTTACGCTGTCTTTTGCTTGATACAGGTTCTCCATATGGTTGTAGGCGAGCTCAGCGGAGTTGCCGTATACGCGATAAGATCGAATGTTCTGCTGCTCGCTTGCCGTGATGTTTCACAGAAGAATGGTGTATGCCATCAGTGACTGATACGTGTACTGTTACATGTCGTATTGCGTTCCGTGCATTGGATATAGCAAGGAACCATCGAAGAACTCGAGGATTTGGGCTCCTTCCATCATCAGTTCAAATTCGAAGGACCACGTATGGAAGTCCATTCCGTCGAATGGTGTTGGGTCGTCGGCAGTTTAAGCACGTGTGTGAATTGTGACTGCATCTGAAGCGCGTCCATTGTCTTTGTTTGTTGTCCAGGTTGGAGACGATTCGGCATAAAGCTGACAGAACCGCGTTGAGGCTCATACGGAACGAAGGTGGGTTGCTGATTTCTGCGTGCAAAGGAAGAGCCATCAAGACTCATAGGGGTGACTCCGTTGTTGTTGTCGCTGTTGTTTGACTGCGTAGTTGCCGCTTGTTGTTGCTCGTAGAACGACATGAAGGATAAGAATTTCTCCTGAATTTCTGTGCAGTACATCGGGCATGGGGCTCGTGCTTGGAGGACGGAGCGACGTTGTCCTCACTGGGCACTCAGACGCTTCTTGGGTTGACGACCAGGCTACGCAGCGGTCGTCACAGGGTTACACCTTCAGCCTTGGCTCTGGCTCTGTTTCTTGGCGTTCTACTTGCTCGTCTTCTGTTCTCAGCTCCAGTTGTGAGGCTGAGATCTACGCCACAGCCATGGCTGCTCAGGAGTTGCGCTGGCTCACCTACCTGCTGACCGACTTGGGAGAGAGGCCTCGTTCTCCTCCAGTTCTGTACGTCAACAACAAGGCCGCCATTGCCTTGTGTGAGGAGCACAGACTGGAGCACAGAACGAAGCACATCGCTCTGCGTTACTTTCTGGCTCGAGAGTTGCAGCAGCGTGGTCAGCTTCGTCTTGCTCACGTGGCCACCAGGGCCAACACTGCTGATATATTCACCAAGGCACTTCCGCCTAGTGATCATCAGCGCTTTTGTACTTTGTTGGGCCTCGTGCCTACGTTTCCTCACTTGCTGTAGGCTTTGCTTGTACTGTGATCTATGTATATATACCTGCATGCTTGCTCTTGCTAGGTAGTGATCACTGTACTGTGTTGTTGCATATATACCTCTGCATGTGAACTGGCCTTGTGGCCCTTTGCTTAGGCTCAGAATGCGTGGTGACTTTGTGATCCACCCTGAGCTTGCTTTGCCTTTCTTGACTGGTCCTGTGACCTCTTGTTCTCCCCCACTCTGCCTATGGGGGTGTGTCAAACATATATGCTGCTTATTGTGTAGGCTGTAGTGGGGTAGCCCATATGGGGTACAACCCATATTAGGGTTTCCTACTTGTACCCATCATGCTGCTAGTTCATTCATTCCTGCCTGTACTTTCTGACAAGAAGGGGGGGAGGGAGAGCAGGGGCAGCACAGGCACGGGCATCAGCGGGCAGTACAGGCACGGGCAGCAACGGGCGGCAACGGGCAGCACAGGCACGGGCAGCAACGGGCGGAAACGGGCAGCACAGGCACGGGCAGCAACGGGAGGCAACGGGCAGCACAGGCACGGGCAGCAACGGGCGACAACAGGCAGCACAGGCATGGGCAGCAACGGGCAGCACAGGCACGGGCAGCAACGGGCGGCAACGGGCAGCACAAGCACGGGCAGCAACGGGCGGCAACGGGCAGCACAGGCACGGGCAGCAACGGGCGGCAACGGGCAGCACAGAGGCGGCTGCACCAGGTCCAGGAGCGGCGTCGCATGCAGCTGTAGGGAATGTCTCACCAAACGGGGTCCGACATTGGTCGACGGCCGTCGACCACTGTCGACTTGACCGCCGGGCAGGAAAAAACTAAAACCCTATCGGATGGCATGCCAAGGGAGGCATGAACCCTAAATCCATGCCTCCCTGTGTTTAGGGTTGATGCCTCCCTGACCGGATGCATGCCCGTCTGGGGTTTATTTTTTTTGCCCGCGGGCAGCGAGCTCCTCTGGGCGGACTAGCTTGTCAGTTGAGCTATACTAAGAGGAATGTATCTGAAAATTCCTTAAGTCAAAAGCTACAAAATGTTTTGAACTTGATTCAACAACACGAAGCGGAAGACGAACCGGCCCCTGCTGTCACCAAATTCAAATCGCAATTTGCCTTCCAAACTTGGTCTTCGCTGGGTCTCCCCATCATCCGCATAAGGACGCGGTGAAAGTAGACGATCGATCGTCAGTCGCGATCAATGTGCAGATTGGTTACCCTATTAGCTTATCTGTAACCATGCTACAGTACGTTTTTTGGCCAATTTTTCTGTACAGTGCGTGAATGCGGCTGATCACTGATCGCGGGAGCTCTGTCAATTCTAAGTAGCGATCGTTACAATGTCGCGATCGCCACGTTTCGCCAATCGATCTGCCCAATCGATTGTGGGGCTCGGTATTTGCAGACGAGCCTGCGATATTTGCACTTTTACCGCGTCCTAAGCCTGCCAATCCCGCTTTATTCGCGGCCCCCTCGAAGCCTACACAGTATGCCCCACCTTCCCTCCAATCGATCCGATCTCTTCTCTCCGATTTCTCCCATCCCTAATTCCCAGTCAACCCACTCTCCCTGTCTGTTTCTCAATCCTAACTTTCTGGCCCATCTCGTAGGCCCCAGAACAGCGCACGGGTATTAACAGCCCATGTGGGGTGTCTGCTCCACGACTATCATGCTGACAAGCGCCGACGACTCGAACCCCCAGCGCGCGAGTGCAGCAACTTCTCCGCTGCAGCGCGCCGATACCGTGGGATCTCGGCGGCGTCATCGCGGCGACGCTCAGGTCTCGCTGCAGGTGTGGAGTGATACAAGAGTGTAGTACACTAGTATATGCGGCCAGGTTAACTCACGCAACTGACCGCTACGCAACCGTGCGCAAGCCCACTCGACAACCGTACTCGCTGCCGAATCTCGCTCATTAACCGTCGGCTGTAAACTAGAGCCATCTCCGCTCGTTGCGCTTGCGCCACTCCTCTCTGCGCGGAAACTCGCCGCTTGTTGCGCCGCAGCTTCGCAAAAACTCGCCAACCATTCTCCCCCCGTTCTCGCCATCACCTCGGCCGAAACTGCTCCCATACCCCCTCGAATCTCGAGCCGGTACAATGCATCGACTTGTTGCGCCGCCTCCGCGACAGGAAACAGCCAATCAGATAGCAACGTGCGCGGACGCATGAGTGATGCTGCTCGTGAGCTCAACGAGTCGAATGTTGCGCGCTGCCCTCAGCGTGTTGGGCCCGTTGGAGGGTATAAATTCAGCGAGGGTGAGCAGTTTCATCCACACCATTTCGGCGAGTCATTCGATAAGAGCAGCACCGGTAGAAAGACGGTTCCTCCTGCAGCACGACCTGCTAGCGTTCTAAGCCGCTGTTCCCACTGAGGAAGTAATTTTCTTGCTGAACCGGCGTCGCTTTCTGAGAGGACTGCGTGTTCAAGTTCAGTTCCTTTCCCTCAGAAAGAAATGGCCGTCCGCATGCGAGATGCGGTTTTCGCGAGCAGCGGGTTCGCCGCGCTGCTGGTGGCGTGCCTGCTGAGCACAAGTGGGGCGAACTTGGCCAAGGCGCAATCCGACTGGGTCTCGCAGCTGCTGCCCAACTATCAGGCGCAGTCTCTGTCGGTCATGCGGCTGGCGGCGATAAGCCTGAATCAGACGAAATATTCCAGATTCACCCAGCTCTTCGCCAGATACTGTGAGTTCTCAACCCTTCTGAACCGCTCTGTACCCATTTCCAGTCCAATCCGGGCGGCTACATCGCGAAATTGGTCGGGTGCGGATTTAGGGCATCCGTGGGTTTTTCTTCGGAAATGTATACGAAAAGTGTCAACGAGCTCCGTTGAAGTCACGGGTCACTCTGTGACTTTTATGTGACACGGTTCGGTATACTAAAAAGTCACTGTAGAGTCACATCTAGCGATACATCGACAAATCTGCGGCGCAAAATGTGCGATTCGGCCAAACTTCGCGTCTCGTGGGTTGAAATCTCTGCATTACCACTCGGATTGGCATAAAATTGTCGCGTTATAGGACCCGTGTGCTGATTGCAACCATGTTAACTTGTTATTGAGTTGCCAATTTCAAAATGTCTCCTAACACATGCTCCGTCTTGAAATGTGACACAATAAGCGCCTCGTGGTTTGAAATCTCTGCATTACCACTCGGATTGGCATGCAATTGTCGCGTTATAGGACCCGTGTACTGATTGCAACCATGTTAACTTGTTAATTAGTTGCCAATTTCAAAATGTCTCCTAAGACATACTCTGTCTTGAAATGTGACACAATAAGCGCCATCCATACGTGGTCACTCGCAAAGGAGAAACTTGTTCAGAAGCAGCACACGGGCATTCACAAACGACTTGCAGATGTGCACCACCCTCTTGATGCGCTCAATCGCCACCACCGCGTACTTCGTTTTCACTCGCCCGGGCGTTAACTGAACGCATGTGGTCAGCCCACACACCCCTGCCGCCTCATAGTACTTCACGTACGCAAATCTGGCAATCGTCCCGTCTGTCTGCTTTGCCCGGAAAATGCACAAGCACCGGGCATACCACTCCTCCTCCTCCTTTGGTGACTTCACCGCCACATCCGAGAACCAGTTTTCTGTGGGACTTGCCTTCACAAAGGTCCCTTTCGCCACCAATTCGCCTCCACGCGTTCGTGGGATCGCCACGGCCGTGTGTACCTGTCGTGCCAAGTCAACCAGCATGAGTACGATGGGCACAACAGCATCATCCCCCACCCATCGCGAGAGCACACATCACACAAGACACCACTCACCCAGAATCGGTCCAGAGAAAGGTCAGCACGCGCGGCGCACGACGTCAAGGCGTTCATGTCGCTTCCAAGTGTTGAGCGGTATGGAGCGAGGGTGCCATCCTCAGGGTCTGAAGGGTTTGCCACCCGAGACCGGCGCGTCAGCACGTACTCCTGCAGCCGCACAGCCTGTATACCACACAAGTCACTCGTGAGTATCGCGTACTCCGGTGTGTCTCTTCAAGTCTCCTAGCTCGGACAGTCACGTATCTTTTCTAAGTACATAAATGGATCATAATAAGCACTACACACAACATTACCTCACGTAGTGCGGTTGTGTACTGTCTTCCACCGCATGCATCCACCGCCACTTCTCGCGCCAACTCCCTCTGCACCTCCTCCTCCACTATCCGTCGAGGAATGTCTTTCCAATTCCCCCCCCTCACCGGGATTTTGACAGTCACCTTGTGACTGTGTTCCCACGCGTTGGTTGAGTACTCGTGCGGCATACCCCGCATGGGGATGCCGTCAATGAGGTGGACCACTGCATAGACTTTCGGCAATTTCCATCCTGATGACTGTGCAGGGAAAGCAGCGATCAGCGCGTCCACCATCCTGCATGTGGACATGTCCGAATAGCACACTATCATAACCCATTCCACCCTAAACACTAGATCGGCCACCAGCCATCAATTCGAGTACCACCAAGCACTCACGAAATTGCATGTTGTCTGACCACCGCCAATGAAGCACGCGTGTGCTTCACCACGCCCACAAGCGCCTTGTAAAAGGTGGCGTACATCCGGAACGCTCGCACCTCGCGCTCTCTCTGCTCGCGCTCCTTCGGCTTCATTCCGTCCATCTTGTCCGCAATGATAAGCGGCATCACTTGCATCATCGCCCTGTGCTCGAATGCCGCATAGTTGGCGGCGCTCCGAAAATACGACGATCCACCTGGAATCCTCAGCACAGTTGACGGCGTGTCCTTCTTGTATGACTTCTTCCTCCTGTGGTCGTTATATGTACCCATACACACGTGTCATTTATTGCATGCATGCATTCCGAACGATGGTTATTACCATCTGTATAATAAAGGTATGCGCCAAAAGCATGGTCGCCCATTGTGTGCAATGAAATACGGTCCCAAAACTCACCCCTCCCACTCCCGTTTCTCTGGCTTGCTCTTCCCCTCCACCAAGCACGATGTCGAGTGGGCGAACATCCCAGAATCCAACGCGTGCAAGATGTCCGCGACGCACGCAAGGAACACATTCCCCCACTCCTTCTCTGCGAAATTCCAGCGTTCCAGAACACACTGCACACAGCGTGTCATCCAGATGTTAGTGTTATTTTAAAAGAACACGTGGAGGCCACACTAGATATGGGACTCAGCTTACACCCGCCAAGCACGGCCGGATGCATACCACAAGCGGGTGTGTCGACCACTTCTTCTGGATACGCTGAGCCAGAGTATCCGTCGCCGCCATCTGGATGGCGTGAACAATGCGCCGTTGCTTCTCCACGGTGCGCGCGGGAGCTCGCAGGTCGACACGGGCAAGGTTGTCCTCCCTCACGTAACAGCTGCTACATGGGCGGTGAGTCGTTGCCTGCATCGTCCCGGTTGCGCGGGACAGCTCCGGATAATCTCCGACTTCTGCAAACAGACACGGGTACGCCTTCACAGCCTTCCCGTTAACGTCTGTCACAAATATGAATCGGAGCTCCGCGCTGCAACACAGTGATACAAACAACCACGCAATGGTTTAGGTGTACACGCATGCGAACAGGGGGCTCTTATTCATGATGCATAGGGTTGCAGGGAATGCAGGACGTCTTACTCTTTGTGGTCCCTCAAAAGTGGCGCAAGAATGATCTTCAGCGCCTCTTGATAAACGCGCGTCTTCTCCGTTGACGATGCCCATTCCGGCGGAAACGGAAGGACAGCCGCCAGTACAAATCCGGGTTCCGTCCACCTGAACCCCTCCGGTATGTTAACCAGCGTTATGAGAACAGGCCACGCTTGTCTCCTGCCGTTTCCAGACGCATAGGTACTGTCACTGTAAACAATGACCCCCAGCACCCATGATCCCTTCTCGGGTAACGCCGCCTGCCAGTACGAGAGCCGTCGCCAGTGTTAAAGACTGGTGACAATCAAATCCGAACTACTTCTAGACTTTCGGTCTACCAATTTCTCCACCCACCTGACACTCGTGAAACCACTTCCCCGTGTCGGGCGTGCTGTAATGCCGAGTGTCCTCGTCGTCCTCGACATCCGTCCGAGGCTGCGTGACAAATCCGCGCACGTGCACAAATGTCCTCACCAACTTCTTCACCAGCTGCAATTTGTTTTTATCAAAGAGACACGCAACGACCAGGAGTTAGACCGCACGCCGAGTCAAGTTCGGCTACGATTTAAATCTGCCCAACGTTATGTAGCGGGCATGATGACCGGATTGCGCCCTGGCACGCCATATTGCTAGACTCACCAACTCCGTGTTCCTGACGTGAAGTGTCACCCTGGCCACCTTGCCGTAGGGCCCAAACACCTTGATCTCTTCCATGGTCCAAGGAACAATGTCCGGCGGCTCTCGCTCCTTTCCATAACGCCGCACATCCGCCGCATTGCGCCATGAGCGAGCAGCTTGTAGATCAAACAGGGGGCTTCAGAAAATGTGAAGTAACCTGTTTACTTCCCTAATCGAAAGGTCCGCATCGCGGAAAAACAGATACAGCTCCTGTAACGTGTCGAAACAGTCATCGATGCTTGTCACATCAGAGTGCGCATCATCGCAATCCGCCTCCGAAGTTGGTGCTGGCGGACTGACCTCTACATGCGGTCGCTTAAGGTTGCTCGACCGCGTCGGTGCCTTGGAGCTCTCGGGAGAACACACCGGCGGTTTCGACGCTGCTAACGCAATCAGCGCCTCCCGATAAGCAGCGACTAACTTTGATGCGTAAATATGTTTAAGCTTCTACCGACAGACGTTTTTTGTTACATGAGACTGCAACGCGTTGTCATCCGTGAACTCGAGTTCGCACGCATCGCACTTGTTGCCTAACATCAAGCCTACCGGTGAAACCCTAATGCCACTAGCTCCTCTACGTACACGGTGTGCGTTTAATGACTAAAGGAACTCTGTGCCCCTCCGATGGCGGGGTTCATCCCAACAAACAAGACTCGGGAAAGAGGTGGAATCTAAGCCACATGAACTCTTGTACACGAACAGTCCGCTGATTGTGAACTCGTATGCCCGTTGTGTGCCACGTCACCACATCTGGCTGGCGTATGAGCAGTTCTGTGGGGTGTTCAGTCTATCGGCTCGGAAGCCGATAATCTGTCGCATGTAGCCCAAAACCCGACCTGAGCCGCTCCGAGAGTTCATTTGTGGCTAGTGTGCACCGCCACTCCCAGTTTGGATCTTGATAACCCCGAGGTGCAATGCGGTGCTCATTAGACTCCTGCAGGTGACGTTTGCGGCACAACTAACCGGGGGCAGTGTCCATTGACAAGAGTACAACTAACCGGCACGTTTGTACGTGGTTACGTTACACGGCCCTTGGTGCATATTTGATTAGTGACGAATATAACGAATGCAACATGGAGACACCTTACATTGCAGAACATGACACTCTTATCAGCTTTCTCGTTTATGACACATCAGGAACAGCTTAGTAGACATATCCCATCACACTCCGCCGCACACCAATTGCATGTAGTGGCCAAAGCAAACTCATGCGCCAACTACAACTTCACTCTCCGACATTACGCCTCTTCTTCGTGGGCGTCCTGAGCAGACGGGACACCAGTTCTGCGTTCGTAATGCCAGCGTCTACAACAACGTCGGCGGGGTCCTTGCCTGAGTCAAGGGCTCGTTTCGCCAACGCCCCGAACAACGTGCGCATGACGCGACGAATGCTCCTGGCGTCATCCAAGTAGCCAGGTGCCGACTCAGGCTCGGCACCGGTATCACAACCGATATGAACATCTCCGGCAGTCACGACGTTAGTGCACACAGGATGATCTGCTTCGACACACACGTACTTGACAGCGGACAAGCGGTCCCAGTGGGGGATGTACCGATCAATCTGTCTCTGTAAACGCATTAGCTCATCTGTTAACTGGTCCAGCACTATGGTGCTAACCCTGGGCAGTGACGCAAGAAACAAGTGCTGCCAGTTTGGGGGGACGCGATCCGCCGCTGCCCATGAACGCATGATTGTCGCCCTCGAAACGCCCTTCCAGGACAGCGCCATCCACACCACGACTCGTTCCAGCCCGGGGCGTGACATCGCCCACGCTCCGTCATCCGGTCGCATGTCTGCCAAAATCTGACGCAGCCACATGTTACGGAAAAGCGCCTTAAAAGTCTCGACAATTCCGAGAAGCATCGGTATCCCGTAGATGGGTACCACCTCCGCCATTTGCACCACGCGGGTGTGGGTCAATGTGGTGACATCGAAGCCGCACATCTTGGACCGAGCTCCGGAGTCTGTCGCCATGGTGTGGCGTGGGTTGCAGACTAGGATAGTCGTCTTCCGGTCGGTAGTCAAGTTAGCGGTGTTCAGGTCCTCGATGATGCACGTGAAAACCTACACACGCGGGCGTGAACACGGTCCGAAGTCATTCATCGAGTAAGTACAGCCATAATAATTTGAACGGACACAAGTTATGGGCCAGGCGATGAGTCTTACCTCAGACGTTAAACGCCAATCCGTTGTGTTCCACGTGACCACGTGTTCGCTCATGTGGAAATTGCCCTTAGGCTCCTGCTCGGGCCGTTGGTTCGTAATAATATACGGGCGGGGCTATGAGGAGCCATCGACGTTGAAGAGAAGGCACACCGAGAAGCGCCATCCGCCGTCGTGCAGCATATTATCGTCCATGAAGATGGTCCACTCCCAGGGATGCTTCGACGGCATAAACGGAAACTCGACAAACCCGTAGACATCGCCCGGCGCCGCACCCAGTGTCTGTAATAATCCCTTAATGTCAGCCATGCTTGTAAAAGGACGTACAATGTTTGTGAAAAGAAATGACACCCAAATATTTGTGTTCACAATGTTCTGGAGCAAACCATTATCGTACACGAAGCAGTCTGTGCTTTCTGCGCCACACAGTAGGCACTAGAAGTTGGTGGCTAGTTTTACGGCTCATGACGTGACACCCACAGCTGGCATTAAGCCATTGGATCCAAATGAAGACACTCTTATCCTTCCGAGATGCGATGAACCTGCATACGCGTTGTCACATATTTGTGATGCTCTTCACGTTCCAACTAGGCGTTGTGGTCTTGTATTCAATGTAAACACTCCAAAGTTCTTGTGTTCATATGTGTGCATCAGTTTGTTCCGTTTGTGCTCTAATCGTCTATAGTCAAGTTGTCTTATTACAGCACGTGAGTGCTCCACAGCCCGTTGAGGCACCGTACACTAAGCCTCGAGTCCCTTCGCAGGGACCTAAACGCACTATTTGTCAGAGGTGCGTTCATTGTGTTAAACGCCTCATACGATAGTTCGTACTCGTTTCCAAATTAACCTCGCAATTTTGTTCGTCTTGCGTAATAAGCTGATTACTCATACAACGACCATTTCGGATAGTGTACTGTAGGATGGAAACATGGCGCACTGTACACAGCCGCGTTTTCGAGCCTAACGAACGCTGGTTCGACATTGATGCCATGCATGCAACATGGTACATAGATGCCGGGTCTGAAGCCTACCGCGCACATAGGCCGCTGCTATTTAGGGTTTGGACGCTCAGACACATATTCGCTAGCACACACGTCTCTAGATCTCAATCCAGCCATAATACCTAGCAATCCTGCGGTAGCACACAGATTCGTGGATCTCGGGTCAGCCAGAATACCTAGCAGCGCCGGCTTGCTAGTACAGCGCGTACTCGCTGATAGTACATCGTGTTCCAACCGTTCCAGCCCTACCGGTAGGGCCTACCTTACTCGCTGATAGTACAGCGCGTTCCAACCGCCGATGCCACGGACACGAGGCGACGCCGCGCGCCTAGGAAGGTCGGTGGCGATTTCTGCGCCTGGTGCACGCATCGAGTCTAAGTCAATGGTGGGCTCACAGCGTCCTGACGGGGTCGCGATGCCGCACGCACATGAGATTCGTGGTGCACAAGCGCGCACGGCATGGCAGAGCAAAGGCAAAACAAACCATGACGTGGCGTGGGGGTCTACGGTGGTCATGCTCGACTGTGAACCCCCGCCAGACGACGCCATTCAGGCGATGATACAGAAGGGAAATACCGAGGAGTGGGGATCTGTGACTTTGCACGGCCACGACGGCTTAGAATGTCAAGTGAAGGGCGAAGACGCGATAAGCATCGCCGACGGAAATTGCTTGCACGACGCGATGCTCGATTTTCACAACCTGTGAGTAATCGATCATGGTCTTGCCGTTATTCCTTGTGTGCAGACGTTCTTCAGATTCGTGGATCTCACGGGCTATGCTCACATCTTATTGCTACAGGTTGTTGAAGATCCGGCATCCCACCTTGCCCAACGGAGGGACATGGGCAGTGCTAGACAGCAAAAGCTTCGTGTATTTCCAGCAGTTCCATGAGACCATAACGCATGGTCGACCTGGGAGCGTCTTCGCGGCTGACTATATGGCAATTCCTATTTTCCAGAGGTGCGCTATAAACAGAGGCCGTGCATGTTGTTCGAGATCGGCGGTTGTGCGACGTGACCAGACTCAAATTTCGCTCCTGTGTGCCATGTGTTTGCAGGAGCCACTATTCTCTCATGGTTGTGGCATCGCCATCTCAGATAGTGGCAACGAGCAAGGGAGGAAAGGCTGCAGCTGTCGAGCTTATCCTATACGACAGCGCGGGTGTCCACAGCATGGATGCAAGAATATTTAACGGTGTCAAAAGGTGAAGTTACTGAAATCAAGATTTGACACTCGCAGACGCGATACTAAACATGTGTGTGAATCTGCCTAAAGCGTGGTCTTTTGAGTGGTATTGTGTTGCAGCCTGTTACACGCAATGGTGAAGAGAGAGCTACCGCATATCAATGAGGAAACGGTCAAGGGAGTGCTCATGGTGGCGAAATGCATCACGCTTGGGGTGAGTGACTCTCACTTTAACGCCTCCCGTATCCTATGAGAAGGTCTTTCAGTTGCTTCTTTACTAGCTGGCTCGGTGCGTGTCTGCGACCTCCCCCAAGTACCCCCCCCCCCCTCCTCCCCCTCCCTGTACCCCCTCCCCCTCCCCCTCCCCCTCCCCCACCCATCCCCGCCAACAGGGAAGCCGCATTCCAATGCAAACGAACGGAGTCGATTGCGGTGTGTTCGTTTGCCAGAACCTGGCCGAGCTGGTGGCGACCAGCTTCCAGACTGTCCGTGACGGACTCAGCTTCGACCGGCCCACCCCACTTGTGTACCGACGGGGTATGAGGGCGGAGCTATGCGATCATCGGGCTGGCACTCTCGCCGCAAAGCTGGAAGCCGAGGGGATAGTTATGCCCACGCAGCCCCCGCCCGTCCAGGCTCTGGACCCAGCAATCGTTGTGCAGGACGATGATGAGGTCGTCGAGCTGAAGTCCGAGGGGGAGATGCAACCAACCGACATGCAACTCGTTGTGCTTGCTGCGAAACTCGGCGCAATCTCTCTGGCACTTGGGTATGACGAGGACCAGCTCCTAGCTGGTGCTGCGCACTTTTTGACAACGCACGCTCGTGTAGTGGATCCAATCGTCAAGGGGATGGGGGCCGGCAAGGATACTGAGGCCGTCGCGAAGAGCATGGCGGTTGCGCTGCACACGACACCTATGCCTCTCCCACGCCATCCAGCGGGCCAAGTGGGCGTTCGATTGAGCAAAATGACGACCAAGGCTACCTCACCAAGACCCGGCAGCAAGCCTCCGAGTCCACATACGCCGCATCCTGTCATAGCAATCCCAGCATCCGGCGGCAACGTTGGGAAACCTCCACGAGCTCGAGAGGGGACACGCGAGGGACGGACAGGGCACACGGGTGTGCGGTACGATCCAGAGACCGGCAAGTACTATGCAAAACTGGTGTGGGGACGTGGGTCCAGACAGCAGATTCGGCTTGGTTCATACACCGATGAGCTGGATGCAGCGTACGCCTACGCTGCCGCGGCACATGTGCTGCGCCCGAAGGTTATCAGTAAGGGTGCGGTGAGATTGTCCGACTCGGACATCGCGGCGCTATCGGGTTGCACGGGTGAGCATATTCGCGCGCTGGTACGTAAGCGGAAGTGGTGGAGGTGGCGTGAGTGGACAGTGGCTCTGCGCGAGAGGGGACAGGTGTTTCGTGGACAGGGAGAGGGTCATGATGCGGCACTTCGTGCGGTATCCAGCAGTGCGTCTGAAGATAGTGTTGCACAGGATGGTGATGAATACCCTTTGACGCAAGAGTGCGAGGGGGATGTGCACATGGAGGCCGAAGGGGAGGCAAACGGGGGTTGTGATGGCGGCTCCGACACCAACACAGAGCTAGTGGCTAAGTAAATCATGGGGCTGGGTGTGCTTGTGCAGGGCCGTATGATGGTGGCGTTTTTACAACGACTTGTTGATATGCCTTCCATGGCGCGAGAGAATCGGGGACACGCATGCTTTGACTTTCGGCAATGTGGTCTTGCTTGCTCAAGATGCGGTTATTTCTACCGTGTGATGTGCGTGTTAAACTGCTAAAATGATGTATCGTATTCACAAGATCGTATACACCATGACACACGACGCGGCACCCTTGCTGCGCACAGGGTGTCGTTTTAACGCATACCGTCCACGAAACCCGCACAGCGGATTGTCATGCGTATACGATAAGGAGGACACGTGGGCTAAAACCTGTCATGATATTATAGGCTGCATGGATTACATACACATTCCGACCACAAATGGGTCCGTGTGTCGTATGGGGCAGATATTCGTTTCGCGTGATGTGTGAGGTAAAGAGACGCAGAATAGCTCATTGTGACCTAACAAGACTGCAGTCCCTGTGAACAACAGACACTGTGAGATGGCGAGTGCCATAGCCATGTCGCAGAGAGACGGGCGAGGACACCGGGTGTCAAAGCCGCCTGCATACCTGCGGCAGGCGTACCACCTCACATTGTCTACGCGACGTGGGCCGACTAAGAGTTCTAAGACGGCGCCGACCGTTGTCCGCGCGGGAAAAGGCGGTGCATCAACGCACTCTACGCGGGGTATGGTTAAGAGTCAGATGGGCGGTGTTATGCTTTAATGTGAACGTTGCTGTCTGAAGTTGTTTCGAGTTCCACATGATGCCCCTAAGTTCGTCAAAGCGTTTTATCACATGCCCATGTGTGTGCACCTGCAGCATCTTCTGGGCGGCGCGTCGCGGGTGAGACAGCGCCATCTGCTAGCGGGAGTGGGGATGCAGCCGCAGAGTCCCAGTCTTCCCAGCAGCCATCGCAACCCGTTGAGGCGCCGAGGTCGAGGCGCGTCGAGGATGTTGTGAACGATACGCAAGCTCCCACTGGAGGTGCGAACGCGGGCAGTTCGCGCCCGGCGGTATCGAACGACGATCCCGCGGGAATGCTTCCGGAGATGCCGCGTAACTACAACGCTGATGTGGGAACACGCCTTTACCGTGACGACGACAACACACCCGTATCCCGCGAGGAGTTTAATCGCATTGTTCGTGCGCACGAGGAAACACTTGCAGCGTTGGCTCAACTGGAGACCGTCCTGCTTGCAAAGATTGAGCACGAGAAATCCGAGGAGAAGGCTCGTAAGCGGAAGCGGGGACGAGTAAATGAGGCGCGCGATGCACGCGTGGCAGAGGCGAGTGATCTCGCGCTATCCGACGACGAGGACAACGATCGGGCACCTAATGCGCGCCACAAGAAGACTGCCAAATCGGCGATTCTGCAGAGGGCGCTGGAAGTGCTCCCGGCCGACAAACCCTGGAAGGTCTGGTGACGCTTCCTTGCTGTTGTGTATGCACATCTAGGTGCATTGCGAGTCGACCAAATGTGCTCAGGGTGTGCGAAATCGACATGATGCCATGTACAGTCCTTTGCCGCCGTCCAATGCACTCTTGTTTCCACTCCATCCTGCGCATTTATGGCCCACGATGTTACAGAACATTTGCGAGCAGGTGCGCGTTCACATGTTCTTCGAGCGGAGGAACGAGAGGATGACGTTCTACCCCAGCAGTGAGGAGAAGACCGCGGGGGTGTGCGCAGTGGTAGACAATCTCCCGAAATCGTACGCCGCACTGGCTCTTGCAGCATGCAAAGCCCGTCGGGCCGATCTTAATCGGTCTCTGAGCGATTGGAAGCCGGCGGCCGCTGGCCGGGTGCGTGACATCGCGCTGCCGCGAATTGGGCTTTTTCGGGATGAACGGGACGCGCAAAGCCCGTGGGCAACTGCAAAGGCTCGGCCCCTTGCGAAGGTTCGAACTCGTACTGGGCTTGACGCCAGTTTCGGCGGTAAGGCGTTGTCTATGACCCATTTAATATACCGCATCGCTGTATACCATCTGCGTTGGTTCTCTAACACTGGGACGCTTATCTTTGCGTACAGATAAGGTCGTGCTGTCAAGGTGGTCGCACGACCGTAGGGGCATGCCGTTTGCCTCGGGAGCATTCACTGCGTGTGCACGCACGGTTTTCAAGCCCAAGATGTTGAACGGCACCATCACCCTGAAGCTCTACCATCTCGCGTGGATCGAGCATCTGGTGCGAAATGGCCTCGGGGATAGGTGGTTCCACGTGTCGGCTGCGCTTGCACCGGCCTTGTTGCCACGTGGCACTTAACACAAATCGTGTGTTCACTTTGGAGCCTGTGTTGTATTATTTGCACAGGTGACTGACGCGATTATCAACTGGGAGCAGCGCAAGGGCCGCCTGTCCAATTCGGCCTCACGCAACGCCCACATGGTGAAAGGGCTGCAGACCTTGGTGTTTGATGCTATTGTGGCGGCCATTGACAAGTACAACCCGCCATACGACCCGGATACTAAGACGTTCGAATGGGGCCGTCATGGGCTCCGCCTGTCAACGTGCGGCCTGGAAGAGACACTTCCAGAGGCGTCAGGCGACGAGGAAATCGAGAGATCCGTGAACGAGGTCTCAGTATCGCACGGGAATTCAAAAATGGACGAGCAGTAGGCAGCGTAGTTGGGCAGCATGATGTGAAGTGTGACAGTATAACCTTGTTGTTGCGGGGCTGGATATGAGAGAAATTAAGCTATACATTGATCAACTCAACGATGTACAATCGCGCGTTATATACTATCGGCACAGGAAGGGCGGTTACAATTATAACGGTGCGCCCCATCAAGACGTATTGCGCATGTTGCGGCGGCAAACACGGACGGCCTATCAAGCCCGAGTCGCGGACTTAGTAGGGTGATAGAACAACCGTAGATGGTTGGGGTCAGCATCATAGGATGGAAAGCGATACAAAGGCCGCCACGTGGCGCTGCTCCGTTTGATCAAGAGGATCGTATTGAGCACAGTGGTAGTGGTTGCGCCTGCGTGTCTGTGTGTGCAGGTGCCACGTGACACGACACCAGCTGCTTGATCGGAGATGCGGAACGGACTTACGGCCTTCATCGAACGGTCTGTGCGTGACGATCTGCATGCCGGAGTCACTTGTCGCGCAGCACCTGTCTTTCCGTGATTGGTTGCAGCTAGACGCCAACTGTCGTACGACGTGAGTCGTACGTTCTCGTTCGTGTCGTCTAACGAGTGTCCCGCCACGTGGCGGGCAGTACTAATGGTATGCGTTTAGGCGACAGACCGCCAGCGATTTTACGTAGCTCGCGTCGGCACTTTTTTGTGACGTAGCACGAGGGACGTAATAGGGAGATGCAAGTAACTTAGGGTGTCACGTCTTATGTGACACAAATGTTACGGAACGTACGTTTTTCCGATACTTTCATGTGACTTTTTTGTTACATCGGAGGTCACATCGGCGCTGGTACTTTCAACCATGACTATAAAACGCCGGACTTGCAGTCACGCAAAAGTCATATTTGAAACACATTTTTGTGACTTTCGGCACTTGCCATTTGCGCGACGTACTCATTGACCAGGATGCAGGAAGCGACCGTTCTCATCACCGCCAGCGAGGACCACTTTCTCTGCCTCACTCAGTGTCTAATTGCTCTCATGCCTTCCTATCTACTCCCGTCCCACTCCCCTTCCACCCCACTCCTAACCCCATCCGCCCTCGTGCAGTCAAGTCCGGGGATCTGGTCATTGATGGCGATGCAACCATCCTCATCCCCACCAATAACGGCCTTTGGCGCTGCCCAAAAGCAAGAGATTTTGTCAGCCTCACCCGCAAGCAGAAGCTCCAGTTTCTCCGTTACCACATTCTCAAGGGCCGTTACCTTGCGACGGATCTCAATTCCGCCGTTCCTAACACGCTCTTCCCGACTTTCAATCAGAACCTGCCGCTCAACAAGACTTCTAATTCGATGTGGTTTACGTATTTGGATACGGTTCCGCAGAGGGTTGTGTCGAACCAAGGGTACCGGTATCGTATACAGAGATTGAGGTGCCAAATGCAGGGCTGGTGAAAAACATTGCTGCACAAGGAGTGTCATGGTGCCTCGAGCCGCCCAACCTCTGAGCCTTGTGTTCGCGCAGCAAGAGGCACTATCCAGTTCAGGACGCGTCAACTCCCAGCAATGTATCAGGATCGAGGCAAGATCGGCAGTGCACACCGATATTGGCAGAATCGATGTGCACACCGGTGTGCTCCACCTGCAAATCGGCAGTGTACCCCTACCATCGAGCCACACTTGACTAGGGTAATTTGCAGGGTCGGGGGCTGCTGGGTTGGCTTGTCGCATGCTGCAAATCCGCCTTCGCAGTGCGTCGCAAAGTGTGTTTCCCAACTGTCTCTGTGCTTCGCAAAGTGTGTGTTACCATGTGCGACGCCGATCGATCGCGGTTGTCAACTAGCGCTTGTAGCTCCCACTCACCGAAATGCCACGATCGGTGTGTGGCAGGTGGCAAGGTGTCCCGAGATCCGGAGGGGACATCGGGAGTGTTGGCCGGTTTACTGTGCAATGGAGAAACCTGACGAAAACTGGAAACAAGACACTTCGCTAGCTCGTGAATGTACTGTATATATGGCACATCGATCCTACGGAGGATCGATGTGCTCAAAGTGCTGGGAGTTGACGCGTCCTCAGTAGCAAGTCAAAACAGCTCCGAGCCACTGGTTTTGGAGTGTAGAGGGGGCATAATAAACCAGGGATTGGCAGGAGGAATGGGATTAGCGATGCCGGATGGATGATGTAATGTTTGTGAATAAAGAGAGGGACTCTACTCATGGAGTGTCGTTGTTTACCGGTATTTTTTATTTTTGACCCTCTGAGCAAATTGGTTCACACTGCCCTCGTTGAGGCTCTCGTTTAGTCCAGCAATCTATCGTTATTTGTTATCATGTGCATTTGATCAAACTAAGGAATTTCTGAAGTCCATAGCAGAAAGATATTTGCACTTTACTACCGTATTACCTAGGTGCTGACTCGGGGAGGGGTGTCTATCTCCAGGAGAATATGGTGATACGGTATTAACAGGTTGGGAGGGTCTAATGAGTAGGGATGCACGGAAAACTAGTGGAAGAATTCGGTGGTATCAACACGACGATGACCTATACAGGAGAATGACCCGTGGGAAGAAGTGAAAGGTGGGTTGTACACGCAGGAAACGGCATTGTTCCACCATAGTACACCCGAGTGGCGAAACCCAATGTGAACTCCACTGCAAGCTCGCCAGCAGATCAGATGAGAGCAACAGGTGCTAGTCGAACATGTATATCCGCGAGGCAATGTCAGTCACTAGCCACTCGAATCCCCCCAGCACCCCCTCGCCGGTCTTGGCACTGCAGGGCACGAGGTGGCAATGCCGCCTGCCCTCCGCCAGGGCCTTCACACCCAGCACCTGCGGGCAGCGGGTGGGAGAGGGGGCGAGCGGGGCATCACATAAATGAGGTGAGACCTGGGCTCCACAGCAACCGCTATCGGTGTGTGACTTGGAGCAGGTACGAGCATGGTGTGAGGCGCAACCACATGCTTGCTTGTGTGCTGCATGCTTGGGTGAAGATTGGGACAACACCCCGATTGACACCACATGGCTGTAAGCCAAGCCAACAAAGTGCCGCCCAGAGCTTCAATGGTAGGCCTGCCAAGCCAACTTGTTTGGCTTCAATTCACCAGACTCGGCTGCTTCCTTTCTCGCCCGCCCTCTCCCTGCCCACCTCTCTCGCCCTCGCTCGCCCTCTCTCACCCCCTCTCGCCCTCCCCCCGCCTCCTCTCCACCCACCTCGCTCCTCTCCACCCACCTCGCTCCTCTCCACCCACCTCGCTCCTCTCCACCCACCTCGCTCCTCTCCACCCACCTCGCTCCTCTCCACCCACCTCGCTCATCTCCTCAGTGCTGAGAGCACCCGGCAGGTCCTGCTTGTTGGCCAGCACCAGCAGAGACGCGCCTGCCAGTCTCTGGTGGGGCGGACGGGTTTGTAAAGACCTGTGTGTTGTTTGAAGAAAATCTTCTTGTGAAAAATATCCGTTGTAACTAGTTTCGGCGTAGGAGCCTTCGTCAGACCACAAGAAAGCAAATGAGACGTCGAGGTTTATAAGATGACCTCGAGGGACCCCGCTCGCCATTAAGCTTGCAGGGAACCCAAGTCTCAGCAAAATTCTACAGTAACAGAACTACATTACGCTAGCATTTACGAGCAGAAACTAAAAAGCTTCCAACACTTTTTGGCAACTTCCATGCCAGAACAGCTCTCCTCCCAGAAAACACACCGCGTGACATTGTATCGAGGTGTGTTTTTAGTGGACTCAAAACACACCTGAGATGCGCCTGCCAGTCTCTGGTGGGGCGCACGGGACAAGAGGCAGGCAGACAGACGTCACATAAAAGGAAAAAGCAAGGTGTTGGTTTCACGCTCGGCAGCTGCATTGGTTGCTACCCTCGCAACGCCATGCCAGCACTTGCATCCCCACGCATACGTGGCCGCACTCTCTCAACAGTCATCGCATGCAGTGCCAGCCTGGCCTGCTCCCAGCTGCCAGCCACCTCCCACCCACCACCCCACGTCTTCGCCTGGACCATGTGCCGTGTCGCTGGCCCCCTCCACCCACAAGCTACGCCCATGTCAGCGAGGGATCTCGCAATCCCTACTTGCATGGCATAAGCAATGGTTGTTCATTTGCGCCAATCACCCAAGCACACTCCCACCAACGTGAAACATGTCATCTCACCTCCTCTTGCCCCACCTTCCCCTGCACACACACACCTCCCCTCCATCCCCTCCCTCTCCCCCTCCCCACCCTCCCCCCCGCACCTCCTCCAGCAGCACGCGGTGCAGCTCGTCACGGCAGTCAGCGAGGCGCAGGCGGTCGCAGCTGTCGACGACCCACACGAGTCCGTCCGTGCGCTCAAAGTAGTTGCGCCAGTACGCGCGCAGCGTGCGCTGCCCACCCACGTCCCACACGTTCAGGTTGAACCTGCCACGTCCGGTCGTGTGGGGGGGACGAGGGAAGGGGGTGGGGGGGAGAGGGGCGAGGGGCAGAGGTGGCAGCATGCGCTGCCCGCCCACGTCACGTCCCACACGTCCAGGGGCGTGGGGCGTGGGGCATGGGGAGAGTGAGGGAACGGAAGCAGGAGAGAAGTGACGGGCAGTGGTGGGCGCAAGGGGGGATCCGCTGTGACTTCCCTCGCGCCCTCCCGCACTTCCTTTCCCCCGCGCCCCGGTCGTCGTCCCTGCCACATCCACGTGCACCCCCGAGCCCCTGCTCTGCACATTGCCTACCAAACCAATCCTGCAAACCAACCCCCGCCTCCCCCCCCCCCCCCTCCCTTCCCCCCGCCTCCCCATAGCCTTTCCCCCCACCGTCAGGGCTCACCCTTTGTAGCGCAGGGTGGTGATGCTGAACCCCAGCGTGGGGCCCACCTGCGACGTATCCTGGCCGTTGAACCGCATCACGATCGTCGTCTTGCCCGCGTTGTCCAGCCCCCTGCCAGCAACACAGCGACGCAGGGAGCTCAGCAACGGCGCGCGACGACATAAGGATGCGTGAAGCGGTAGGGAAGGAGCGAGGGGGAGAAAAGGGGCGCGGGGGGAGAGAAGGGGCGCGGGGGGGAGAAGGGGCGCGGGGGAGAGAAGGGGCGCGGGGGAGAGAAGGGGCGCGGGGGAGAGAAGGGGCGCGGGGGGAAAAAGGGGCGTGAGGAAGAGAAGGGCAGCGAGGGGGAGAAGGGGCGCGGCTGAGGGAAGCGGCGCGGGGGAGTGAAGGGGCGCGGGGGAGAGTTGCGGCGCGAGGAAGAGTTGGGGCGCGGGGGAGAGAAGAGGCGCGGAGAAGAGGCGCGGGGGAGAGAAGGGGCGCGGAGAAGAGGCGCGGGGGAGAGAAGGGACGCGGGGGAGATAAGGGACGCGCGGAGTTGGTCTGACGCGGCGAACGTGGCAGCGGCAGCGGCACGTACACCATGAGGATGCGCATCTCGCGCTCCTTGCGCTTCAGCTTGCGGATGATCGTCAGCAGCACCATGCTGCCCCGCCACACGCGCCCCGCGCCTCAAGTCTCAAGTGGACTGCCGGGCAGGAGGGTCCGCGGCGGGTAATTCGCGTCACTGGAGCTGCGCTTGGAACATCGCGGAGTGCGACGGAAGACTGAATGGTGGGGGACGATTTAAGGCTCGCGGAGAGCGGCGAGAACGGAACACTTCACAAAACTGATTAGGAACTAAACTAAACCTACCATGAAGCTAAATTCCTAGATATCTCGTAATTGGTGTCGAAAGAACGCCGTTTGTAGTTACTGCGGTTGGGGTCTTCCGAACTCTAAGGGCGTGGGCCCAATCGGGTTTGAGGCCGCGATCAATCATTTCCAGGAACCCTGGAAGCCATTTTCAGGCAATCGGGAGCAATCAGCTGATCGCAATCAGCTGATCGCCCAAACTCAGTCAGACCCGATTTCCACCCCGATCAGAGTCGATTTTCCTCGATCACATACGATCAATTGATCGCTACTGATCGGGGCCATAGCGACGCTTGCGAAGTGTTACTCTGTAATACTAAGTCTCGTCAACCCCTCACGAATTGGTGGAAGATTCCACAAAGAACAAGACGTGCGGACTGGGTTTGGCGAGATTACAGGGATACAAAAAGTTTCGCGAGGTTCCGTCTGTTCGCAATTATCGCTAAAATTGGGCAGAAAATGCCTGGTAATTGGTCACCGCTTGCTGCGCAGCCAACGCGAATGTTCTACAAAAATTTCTGCTGATCGGGCGGCTCGGGCAATGTGATCACAAGCAACCCGATCAGATCCGCCCCGATCAGATCAGTGGCGATCAAACCCGATTGGGCCCACGCCCTAACTTTCAGCGAAGTGAGGAAGTGGTGCAGTTCGCCTCTGATCGGAACGGTTCGGTGTGGCTAGAGCGCGACTCGGATATTTGATCGAGCTGCGCGATGAAGCAGACAATTAGACAGTTCTGGATCAAGTTCAAACCTGTTTGAACAGCGTCCGGACGTACTCATTGGAGACGCCCTAAGGAGGAAACGGATCACACAAAAGCCACGACTTTTTGCGGCACCAGGCGCGCGATACGAGTTTCCGCTGAGTCGAAGTCCACCAGCTGAGACGAGATGGCGGATTTTACGCGATTTCGTGTAGCTTTTTTCCGTTTGACAGACCATCGGCTGCGGCGCGCTAAGCAAATTCTGCAGGCTGTTATGTAGAGCGCGAGAAATCGGTGCATGGTCTCGGCGACTTTTCTGTCATCTTCGGCCCCAAATTGTTTTTTCCCCAAGCTGTGTGTTCCCACCGTGACAGGTGGCTGACGTTGGTCAATTTTACGTTACCCTCTTTCATAGTTACGGGCAACCACCGCCTTTGGCTGGATTTTTCGTGATGAGCCTGCGGCAGCGATCGGATCCGCGCAAGCCATCGGCGTAGTCGCGGTGGCGTTGGCGTTAGGATTAGCGGAGAGGACGAGGCGAGGGAGAGGGGCGATTAGGATTAGCGGAGAGGACGAGGCGAGGGAGAGGGGCGATTAGGATTAGCGGAGAGGACGAGGTGAGGGAGAGGGGCGATTAGGATTAGCGGAGAGGACGAGGCGAGGGAGAGGCGAGGGAGATTTCGCAGCATCCATGGGAACACCAGTGGTAACAGCAGCGGTAACAGAGGCAGCAGCAGCGGCAGCAGCAGCAGAAGCAATGAGCTCCGCTGCGCCGTCCACCATCCCCGCGCCCCCCAAGCTGCTGGCCAACGCGCTCGACCTCCTCGACGCGGCGTCGCGGCTCATCACGGACGTGCGCAGCGGCGTGGACGTGCTTATAGAGGGGGTTGTGACCGCCGCGGAAACAGGCGGGGAGGGATGGGAAGGCTACGAAGAGGGCGCGGGCGGGGCGGCGGAGGTGATGGGGGAAGTGGAGCGGCGGATGCGCGGGGCCGTGGCGCGGCTGCAGGCCGTTGGTGAGGGGGGGTGGGAGGGGGGGGGAATGTGTGGGGGCGGCGGGAGATGAGGGGCGGACGGATGGGGAGAGATGCGGCACAGAGGCAACACGCTGTTGAGGCGAGGAGGGGGGGTGGTGGGACGTGCATGGTGGTTGCTGGGGGTGCGTCCAGGGGTGGACGCCACATGCGGGGCACAGGGGGGAAGTGAGAGGGGACGAGAGGACAAGGTGCTCCCACCCTCGCGCATGCCACTCCCTCCCACCCTTGCGCATTTCGCCCCGCACTCTTGTCTCTTGTCACAGCACCATCCTCACCCCACCCCACCACCCTGCACGCCTCGTGTCCTCCCCATGTGCTCCCTTTCCCCAACGCCACCCCACGTCATGCGCTCCACTCATGTGCTCATCTCATGTACTCCTCTCATGTGCTCCACTCATGTGCTCCACTCATGTGCTCCACTCATGTGCTCCACTCATGTGCTCCACTCATGTGCTCCACTCATGTGCTCCACTCATGTGCTCCACTCATGTGCTCCACTCATGTGCTCCACTCATGTGCTCCACTCATGTGCTCCACTCATGTGCTCCTCTCATGTGCTCCTTTCATGTGCTCCACTCATGTGCTCCACTCATGTGCTCCACTCATGTGCTCCACTCATGTGCTCCACTCATGTGCTCCACTCATGTGCTCCACTCATGTGCTCCACTCATGTGCTCCACTCATGTGCTCCTCTCATGTGCTCCACTCATGAGCTCCTCCACTCATGTGCTCCACTCATGTGCTCCACTCATGTGCTCCACTCATGTGCTCCACTCATGTGCTCCACTCATGTGCTCCACTCATGTGCTCCACTCATGTGCTCCACTCATGTGCTCCACTCATGTGCTCCACTCATGTGCTCCACTCATGTGCTCCACTCATGTGCTCCACTCATGTGCTCCACTCATGTGCTCCACTCATGTGCTCCACTCATGTGCTCCACTCATGTGCTCCACTCATGTGCTCCACTCATGTGCTCCACTCATGTGCTCCACTCATGTGCTCCACTCATGTGCTCCTCTCATGTGCTCCACTCATGAGCTCCTCCACTCATGTGCTCCACTCATGTGCTCCACTCATGTGCTCCACTCATGTGCTCCACTCATGTGCTCCACTCATGTGCTCCACTCATGTGCTCCACTCATGTGCTCCACTCATGTGCTCCACTCATGTGCTCCACTCATGTGCTCCACTCATGTGCTCCACTCATGTGCTCCACTCATGTGCTCCACTCATGTGCTCCACTCATGTGCTCCACTCATGTGCTCCACTCATGTGCTCCACTCATGTGCTCCACTCATGTGCTCCACTCATGTGCTCCACTCATGTGCTCCACTCATGTGCTCCACTCATGTGCTCCACTCATGTGCTCCACTCATGTGCTCCACTCATGTGCTCCACTCATGTGCTCCACTCATGTGCTCCACTCATGTGCTCCACTCATGTGCTCCACTCATGTGCTCCACTCATGTGCTCCACTCATGTGCTCCACTCATGTGCTCCACTCATGTGCTCCACTCATGTGCTCCACTCATGTGCTCCACTCATGTGCTCCACTCATGTGCTCCACTCATGTGCTCCACTCATGTGCTCCACTCATGTGCTCCACTCATGTGCTCCACTCATGTGCTCCACTCATGTGCTCCACTCATGTGCTCCACTCATGTGCTCCACTCATGTGCTCCACTCATGTGCTCCACTCATGTGCTCCACTCATGTGCTCCACTCATGTGCTCCACTCATGTGCTCCACTCATGTGCTCCACTCATGTGCTCCACTCATGTGCTCCACTCATGTGCTCCACTCATGTGCTCCACTCATGTGCTCCACTCATGTGCTCCACTCATGTGCTCCACTCATGTGCTCCACTCATGTGCTCCACTCATGTGCTCCACTCATGTGCTCCACTCATGTGCTCCACTCATGTGCTCCACTCATGTGCTCCACTCATGTGCTCCACTCATGTGCTCCACTCATGTGCTCCACTCATGTGCTCCTCTCATGTGCTCCACTCATGAGCTCCTCCACTCATGTGCTCCACTCATGTGCTCCACTCATGTGCTCCACTCATGTGCTCCACTCATGTGCTCCACTCATGTGCTCCACTCATGTGCTCCACTCATGTGCTCCACTCATGTGCTCCACTCATGTGCTCCACTCATGTGCTCCACTCATGTGCTCCACTCATGTGCTCCACTCATGTGCTCCACTCATGTGCTCCACTCATGTGCTCCACTCATGTGCTCCACTCATGTGCTCCACTCATGTGCTCCACTCATGTGCTCCACTCATGTGCTCCACTCATGTGCTCCACTCATGTGCTCCACTCATGTGCTCCACTCATGTGCTCCACTCATGTGCTCCACTCATGTGCTCCACTCATGTGCTCCACTCATGTGCTCCACTCATGTGCTCCACTCATGTGCTCCACTCATGTGCTCCACTCATGTGCTCCACTCATGTGCTCCACTCATGTGCTCCACTCATGTGCTCCACTCATGTGCTCCACTCATGTGCTCCACTCATGTGCTCCACTCATGTGCTCCACTCATGTGCTCCACTCATGTGCTCCACTCATGTGCTCCACTCATGTGCTCCACTCATGTGCTCCACTCATGTGCTCCACTCATGTGCTCCACTCATGTGCTCCACTCATGTGCTCCACTCATGTGCTCCACTCATGTGCTCCACTCATGTGCTCCACTCATGTGCTCCACTCATGTGCTCCACTCATGTGCTCCACTCATGTGCTCCACTCATGTGCTCCACTCATGTGCTCCACTCATGTGCTCCACTCATGTGCTCCACTCATGTGCTCCACTCATGTGCTCCACTCATGTGCTCCACTCATGTGCTCCACTCATGTGCTCCACTCATGTGCTCCACTCATGTGCTCCACTCATGTGCTCCACTCATGTGCTCCACTCATGTGCTCCACTCATGTGCTCCACTCATGTGCTCCACTCATGTGCTCCACTCATGTGCTCCACTCATGTGCTCCACTCATGTGCTCCACTCATGTGCTCCACTCATGTGCTCCACTCATGTGCTCCACTCATGTGCTCCACTCATGTGCTCCACTCATGTGCTCCACTCATGTGCTCCACTCATGTGCTCCACTCATGTGCTCCACTCATGTGCTCCACTCATGTGCTCCACTCATGTGCTCCACTCATGTGCTCCACTCATGTGCTCCACTCATGTGCTCCACTCATGTGCTCCACTCATGTGCTCCACTCATGTGCTCCACTCATGTGCTCCACTCATGTGCTCCACTCATGTGCTCCACTCATGTGCTCCACTCATGTGCTCCACTCATGTGCTCCACTCATGTGCTCCTCTCATGTGCTCCAGTGCTCCACTCATGTGCTCCACTCATGTGCTCCACTCATGTGCTCCACTCATGTGCTCCACTCATGTGCTCCACTCATGTGCTCCACTCATGTGCTCCACTCATGTGCTCCACTCATGTGCTCCACTCATGTGCTCCACTCATGTGCTCCACTCATGTGCTCCACTCATGTGCTCCACTCATGTGCTCCACTCATGTGCTCCACTCATGTGCTCCACTCATGTGCTCCACTCATGTGCTCCACTCATGTGCTCCACTCATGTGCTCCACTCATGTGCTCCACTCATGTGCTCCACTCATGTGCTCCACTCATGTGCTCCACTCATGTGCTCCACTCATGTGCTCCACTCATGTGCTCCACTCATGTGCTCCACTCATGTGCTCCACTCATGTGCTCCACTCATGTGCTCCACTCATGTGCTCCACTCATGTGCTCCACTCATGTGCTCCACTCATGTGCTCCACTCATGTGCTCCACTCATGTGCTCCACTCATGTGCTCCACTCATGTGCTCCACTCATGTGCTCCACTCATGTGCTCCACTCATGTGCTCCACTCATGTGCTCCACTCATGTGCTCCACTCATGTGCTCCACTCATGTGCTCCACTCATGTGCTCCACTCATGTGCTCCACTCATGTGCTCCACTCATGTGCTCCACTCATGTGCTCCACTCATGTGCTCCACTCATGTGCTCCACTCATGTGCTCCACTCATGTGCTCCACTCATGTGCTCCACTCATGTGCTCCACTCATGTGCTCCACTCATGTGCTCCACTCATGTGCTCCACTCATGTGCTCATCTCATGTGCTCCACTCATGTGCTCCACTCATGTGCTCCACTCATGTGCTCCACTCATGTGCTCCACTCATGTGCTCCACTCATGTGCTCCACTCATGTGCTCCACTCATGTGCTCCACTCATGTGCTCCACTCATGTGCTCCACTCATGTGCTCCACTCATGTGCTCCTCTCATGTGCTCCTTTCATGTGCTCCACTCATGTGCTCCACTCATGTGCTCCACTCATGTGCTCCACTCATGTGCTCCACTCATGTGCTCCACTCATGTGCTCCACTCATGTGCTCCACTCATGTGCTCCACTCATGTGCTCCACTCATGTGCTCCACTCATGTGCTCCACTCATGTGCTCCACTCATGTGCTCCACTCATGTGCTCCACTCATGTGCTCCACTCATGTGCTCCACTCATGTGCTCCACTCATGTGCTCCACTCATGTGCTCCACTCATGTGCTCCACTCATGTGCTCCACTCATGTGCTCCACTCATGTGCTCCACTCATGTGCTCCACTCATGTGCTCCACTCATGTGCTCCACTCATGTGCTCCACTCATGTGCTCCTCTTATGTGCTCCACTCATGTGCTCCACTCATGTGCTCCACTCATGTGCTCCACTCATGTGCTCCACTCATGTGCTCCTCTCATGTGCTCCACTCATGAGCTCCTCCACTCATGTGCTCCACTCATGTGCTCCACTCATGTGCTCCACTCATGTGCTCCACTCATGTGCTCCACTCATGTGCTCCACTCATGTGCTCCACTCATGTGCTCCACTCATGTGCTCCACTCATGTGCTCCACTCATGTGCTCCACTCATGTGCTCCACTCATGTGCTCCACTCATGTGCTCCACTCATGTGCTCCACTCATGTGCTCCACTCATGTGCTCCTCACATGTGCTCCACTCATGTGCTCCACTCATGTGCTCCACTCATGTGCTCCACTCATGTGCTCCACTCATGTGCTCCACTCATGTGCTCCACTCATGTGCTCCACTCATGTGCTCCACTCATGTGCTCCACTCATGTGCTCCACTCATGTGCTCCACTCATGTGCTCCACTCATGTGCTCCACTCATGTGCTCCACTCATGTGCTCCACTCATGTGCTCCACTCATGTGCTCCACTCATGTGCTCCACTCATGTGCTCCACTCATGTGCTCCACTCATGTGCTCCACTCATGTGCTCCACTCATGTGCTCCACTCATGTGCTCCACTCATGTGCTCCACTCATGTGCTCCACTCATGTGCTCCACTCATGTGCTCCACTCATGTGCTCCACTCATGTGCTCCACTCATGTGCTCCACTCATGTGCTCCACTCATGTGCTCCACTCATGTGCTCCACTCATGTGCTCCACTCATGTGCTCCACTCATGTGCTCCACTCATGTGCTCCACTCATGTGCTCCACTCATGTGCTCCACTCATGTGCTCCACTCATGTGCTCCACTCATGTGCTCCACTCATGTGCTCCACTCATGTGCTCCACTCATGTGCTCCACTCATGTGCTCCACTCATGTGCTCCACTCATGTGCTCCACTCATGTGCTCCACTCATGTGCTCCACTCATGTGCTCCACTCATGTGCTCCACTCATGTGCTCCACTCATGTGCTCCACTCATGTGCTCCACTCATGTGCTCCACTCATGTGCTCCACTCATGTGCTCCACTCATGTGCTCCACTCATGTGCTCCACTCATGTGCTCCACTCATGTGCTCCACTCATGTGCTCCACTCATGTGCTCCACTCATGTGCTCCACTCATGTGCTCCACTCATGTGCTCCACTCATGTGCTCCACTCATGTGCTCCACTCATGTGCTCCTCTCATGTGCTCCAGTGCTCCACTCATGTGCTCCACTCATGTGCTCCACTCATGTGCTCCACTCATGTGCTCCACTCATGTGCTCCACTCATGTGCTCCACTCATGTGCTCCACTCATGTGCTCCACTCATGTGCTCCACTCATGTGCTCCACTCATGTGCTCCACTCATGTGCTCCACTCATGTGCTCCACTCATGTGCTCCACTCATGTGCTCCACTCATGTGCTCCACTCATGTGCTCCACTCATGTGCTCCACTCATGTGCTCCACTCATGTGCTCCACTCATGTGCTCCACTCATGTGCTCCACTCATGTGCTCCACTCATGTGCTCCACTCATGTGCTCCACTCATGTGCTCCACTCATGTGCTCCACTCATGTGCTCCACTCATGTGCTCCACTCATGTGCTCCACTCATGTGCTCCACTCATGTGCTCCACTCATGTGCTCCACTCATGTGCTCCACTCATGTGCTCCACTCATGTGCTCCACTCATGTGCTCCACTCATGTGCTCCACTCATGTGCTCCACTCATGTGCTCCACTCATGTGCTCCACTCATGTGCTCCACTCATGTGCTCCACTCATGTGCTCCACTCATGTGCTCCACTCATGTGCTCCACTCATGTGCTCCACTCATGTGCTCCACTCATGTGCTCCACTCATGTGCTCCACTCATGTGCTCCACTCATGTGCTCCACTCATGTGCTCCACTCATGTGCTCCACTCATGTGCTCCACTCATGTGCTCCACTCATGTGCTCCACTCATGTGCTCCACTCATGTGCTCCACTCATGTGCTCCACTCATGTGCTCCACTCATGTGCTCCACTCATGTGCTCCACTCATGTGCTCCACTCATGTGCTCCACTCATGTGCTCCACTCATGTGCTCCACTCATGTGCTCCACTCATGTGCTCCACTCATGTGCTCCACTCATGTGCTCCACTCATGTGCTCCACTCATGTGCTCCTCTCATGTGCTCCAGTGCTCCACTCATGTGCTCCACTCATGTGCTCCACTCATGTGCTCCACTCATGTGCTCCACTCATGTGCTCCACTCATGTGCTCCACTCATGTGCTCCACTCATGTGCTCCACTCATGTGCTCCACTCATGTGCTCCACTCATGTGCTCCACTCATGTGCTCCACTCATGTGCTCCACTCATGTGCTCCACTCATGTGCTCCACTCATGTGCTCCACTCATGTGCTCCACTCATGTGCTCCACTCATGTGCTCCACTCATGTGCTCCACTCATGTGCTCCACTCATGTGCTCCACTCATGTGCTCCACTCATGTGCTCCACTCATGTGCTCCACTCATGTGCTCCACTCATGTGCTCCACTCATGTGCTCCACTCATGTGCTCCACTCATGTGCTCCACTCATGTGCTCCACTCATGTGCTCCACTCATGTGCTCCACTCATGTGCTCCACTCATGTGCTCCACTCATGTGCTCCACTCATGTGCTCCACTCATGTGCTCCACTCATGTGCTCCACTCATGTGCTCCACTCATGTGCTCCACTCATGTGCTCCACTCATGTGCTCCACTCATGTGCTCCACTCATGTGCTCCACTCATGTGCTCCACTCATGTGCTCCACTCATGTGCTCCACTCATGTGCTCCACTCATGTGCTCCACTCATGTGCTCCACTCATGTGCTCCACTCATGTGCTCCACTCATGTGCTCCACTCATGTGCTCCACTCATGTGCTCCACTCATGTGCTCCACTCATGTGCTCCACTCATGTGCTCCACTCATGTGCTCCACTCATGTGCTCCACTCATGTGCTCCACTCATGTGCTCCACTCATGTGCTCCACTCATGTGCTCCACTCATGTGCTCCACTCATGTGCTCCACTCATGTGCTCCACTCATGTGCTCCACTCATGTGCTCCACTCATGTGCTCCACTCATGTGCTCCACTCATGTGCTCCACTCATGAGCTCCTCCACTCATGTGCTCCACTCATGTGCTCCACTCATGTGCTCCACTCATGTGCTCCACTCATGTGCTCCACTCATGTGCTCCACTCATGTGCTCCACTCATGTGCTCCACTCATGTGCTCCACTCATGTGCTCCACTCATGTGCTCCACTCATGTGCTCCACTCATGTGCTCCACTCATGTGCTCCACTCATGTGCTCCACTCATGTGCTCCACTCATGTGCTCCTCACATGTGCTCCACTCATGTGCTCCACTCATGTGCTCCACTCATGTGCTCCACTCATGTGCTCCACTCATGTGCTCCACTCATGTGCTCCACTCATGTGCTCCACTCATGTGCTCCACTCATGTGCTCCACTCATGTGCTCCACTCATGTGCTCCACTCATGTGCTCCACTCATGTGCTCCACTCATGTGCTCCACTCATGTGCTCCACTCATGTGCTCCACTCATGTGCTCCACTCATGTGCTCCACTCATGTGCTCCACTCATGTGCTCCACTCATGTGCTCCACTCATGTGCTCCACTCATGTGCTCCACTCATGTGCTCCACTCATGTGCTCCACTCATGTGCTCCACTCATGTGCTCCACTCATGTGCTCCACTCATGTGCTCCACTCATGTGCTCCACTCATGTGCTCCACTCATGTGCTCCACTCATGTGCTCCACTCATGTGCTCCACTCATGTGCTCCACTCATGTGCTCCACTCATGTGCTCCACTCATGTGCTCCACTCATGTGCTCCACTCATGTGCTCCACTCATGTGCTCCACTCATGTGCTCCACTCATGTGCTCCACTCATGTGCTCCACTCATGTGCTCCACTCATGTGCTCCACTCATGTGCTCCACTCATGTGCTCCACTCATGTGCTCCACTCATGTGCTCCACTCATGTGCTCCACTCATGTGCTCCACTCATGTGCTCCACTCATGTGCTCCACTCATGTGCTCCACTCATGTGCTCCACTCATGTGCTCCACTCATGTGCTCCACTCATGTGCTCCACTCATGTGCTCCACTCATGTGCTCCACTCATGTGCTCCACTCATGTGCTCCACTCATGTGCTCCACTCATGTGCTCCACTCATGTGCTCCACTCATGTGCTCCACTCATGTGCTCCACTCATGTGCTCCACTCATGTGCTCCACTCATGTGCTCCACTCATGTGCTCCACTCATGTGCTCCACTCATGTGCTCCACTCATGTGCTCCACTCATGTGCTCCACTCATGTGCTCCACTCATGTGCTCCACTCATGTGCTCCACTCATGTGCTCCACTCATGTGCTCCACTCATGTGCTCCACTCATGTGCTCCACTCATGTGCTCCACTCATGTGCTCCACTCATGTGCTCCACTCATGTGCTCCACTCATGTGCTCCACTCATGTGCTCCACTCATGTGCTCCACTCATGTGCTCCACTCATGTGCTCCACTCATGTGCTCCACTCATGTGCTCCACTCATGTGCTCCACTCATGTGCTCCACTCATGTGCTCCACTCATGTGCTCCACTCATGTGCTCCACTCATGTGCTCCACTCATGTGCTCCACTCATGTGCTCCACTCATGTGCTCCACTCATGTGCTCCACTCATGTGCTCCACTCATGTGCTCCACTCATGTGCTCCACTCATGTGCTCCACTCATGTGCTCCACTCATGTGCTCCACTCATGTGCTCCACTCATGTGCTCCACTCATGTGCTCCACTCATGTGCTCCACTCATGTGCTCCACTCATGTGCTCCACTCATGTGCTCCACTCATGTGCTCCACTCATGTGCTCCACTCATGTGCTCCACTCATGTGCTCCACTCATGTGCTCCACTCATGTGCTCCACTCATGTGCTCCACTCATGTGCTCCACTCATGTGCTCCACTCATGTGCTCCACTCATGTGCTCCACTCATGTGCTCCACTCATGTGCTCCACTCATGTGCTCCACTCATGTGCTCCACTCATGTGCTCCTCTCATGTGCTCCAGTGCTCCACTCATGTGCTCCACTCATGTGCTCCACTCATGTGCTCCACTCATGTGCTCCACTCATGTGCTCCACTCATGTGCTCCACTCATGTGCTCCACTCATGTGCTCCACTCATGTGCTCCACTCATGTGCTCCACTCATGTGCTCCACTCATGTGCTCCACTCATGTGCTCCACTCATGTGCTCCACTCATGTGCTCCACTCATGTGCTCCACTCATGTGCTCCACTCATGTGCTCCACTCATGTGCTCCACTCATGTGCTCCACTCATGTGCTCCACTCATGTGCTCCACTCATGTGCTCCACTCATGTGCTCCACTCATGTGCTCCACTCATGTGCTCCACTCATGTGCTCCACTCATGTGCTCCACTCATGTGCTCCACTCATGTGCTCCACTCATGTGCTCCACTCATGTGCTCCACTCATGTGCTCCACTCATGTGCTCCACTCATGTGCTCCACTCATGTGCTCCACTCATGTGCTCCACTCATGTGCTCCACTCATGTGCTCCACTCATGTGCTCCACTCATGTGCTCCACTCATGTGCTCCACTCATGTGCTCCACTCATGTGCTCCACTCATGTGCTCCACTCATGTGCTCCACTCATGTGCTCCACTCATGTGCTCCACTCATGTGCTCCACTCATGTGCTCCACTCATGTGCTCCACTCATGTGCTCCACTCATGTGCTCCACTCATGTGCTCCACTCATGTGCTCCACTCATGTGCTCCACTCATGTGCTCCACTCATGTGCTCCACTCATGTGCTCCACTCATGTGCTCCACTCATGTGCTCCACTCATGTGCTCCACTCATGTGCTCCACTCATGTGCTCCACTCATGTGCTCCACTCATGTGCTCCACTCATGTGCTCCACTCATGTGCTCCACTCATGTGCTCCACTCATGTGCTCCACTCATGTGCTCCACTCATGTGCTCCACTCATGTGCTCCACTCATGTGCTCCACTCATGTGCTCCACTCATGTGCTCCACTCATGTGCTCCACTCATGTGCTCCACTCATGTGCTCCACTCATGTGCTCCACTCATGTGCTCCACTCATGTGCTCCACTCATGTGCTCCACTCATGTGCTCCACTCATGTGCTCCACTCATGTGCTCCACTCATGTGCTCCACTCATGTGCTCCACTCATGTGCTCCACTCATGTGCTCCACTCATGTGCTCCACTCATGTGCTCCACTCATGTGCTCCACTCATGTGCTCCTCTCATGTGCTCCTCTCATGTGCTCCACTCATGTGTTCCTCTCATGTGCTCCACTCATGTGCTCCACTCATGTGCTCCACTCATGTGCTCCACTCATGTGCTCCACTCATGTGCTCCTCTCGTGTGCTCCACTCATGTGCTCCACTCATGTGCTCCACTCATGTGCTCCACTCATGTGCTCCACTCATGTGCTCCACTCATGTGCTCCACTCATGTGCTCCACTCATGTGCTCCACTCATGTGCTCCACTCATGTGCTCCACTCATGTGCTCCACTCATGTGCTCCACTCATGTGCTCCACTCATGTGCTCCACTCATGTGCTCCACTCATGTGCTCCACTCATGTGCTCCACTCATGTGCTCCACTCATGTGCTCCACTCATGTGCTCCACTCATGTGCTCCACTCATGTGCTCCACTCATGTGCTCCACTCATGTGCTCCACTCATGTGCTCCACTCATGTGCTCCACTCATGTGCTCCACTCATGTGCTCCACTCATGTGCTCCACTCATGTGCTCCACTCATGTGCTCCACTCATGTGCTCCACTCATGTGCTCCACTCATGTGCTCCACTCATGTGCTCCACTCATGTGCTCCACTCATGTGCTCGTCTCATGTGCTCCACTCATGTGCTCCACTCATGTGCTCCACTCATGTGCTCCACTCATGTGCTCCACTCATGTGCTCCTCTCGTGTGCTCCACTCATGTGCTCCACTCATGTGCTCCACTCATGTGCTCCACTCATGTGCTCCACTCATGTGCTCCACTCATGTGTTCCACTCATGTTCTCCTCTCATGTGCTCCACTCATGTGCTCCACTCATGTGCTCCACTCATGTGCTCCACTCATGTGCTCCACTCATGTGCTCCACTCATGTGCTCCACTCATGTGCTCCACTCATGTGCTCCACTCATGTGCTCCACTCATGTGCTCCACTCATGTGCTCCACTCATGTGCTCCACTCATGTGCTCCACTCATGTGCTCCACTCATGTGCTCCACTCATGTGCTCCACTCATGTGCTCCACTCATGTGCTCCACTCATGTGCTCCACTCATGTGCTCCACTCATGTGCTCCACTCATGTGCTCCACTCATGTGCTCCACTCATGTGCTCCACTCATGTGCTCCACTCATGTGCTCCACTCATGTGCTCCACTCATGTGCTCCACTCATGTGCTCCACTCATGTGCTCCACTCATGTGCTCCACTCATGTGCTCCACTCATGTGCTCCACTCATGTGCTCCACTCATGTGCTCCACTCATGTGCTCCACTCATGTGCTCCACTCATGTGCTCCTTTCATGTGCTCCACTCATGTGCTCCACTCATGTGCTCCACTCATGTGCTCCACTCATGTGCTCCACTCATGTGCTCCACTCATGTGCTCCACTCATGTGCTCCACTCATGTGCTCCACTCATGTGCTCCACTCATGTGCTCCACTCATGTGCTCCACTCATGTGCTCCACTCATGTGCTCCACTCATGTGCTCCACTCATGTGCTCCACTCATGTGCTCCACTCATGTGCTCCACTCATGTGCTCCACTCATGTGCTCCACTCATGTGCTCCACTCATGTGCTCCACTCATGTGCTCCACTCATGTGCTCCACTCATGTGCTCCACTCATGTGCTCCACTCATGTGCTCCACTCATGTGCTCCACTCATGTGCTCCACTCATGCGCTCCTCTCATGCGCTCCCCTCCTCTCTCACACCACACGCCAGGTACGCAGCTCGCGCAGTTGGGCGCGTGGGACGCGCTCAGCACGCCTTCCCCTCCCGTTGCGCCCACAGCAGGAGGTGGAAGAGCAGGGGGTGAGGAGGGAAAGGCGGCAGTGGTTTCGCATGGTGATTTGAAAGGAGGGGGAGGAGGAGGAGGAGGAGTAGGAGGAGGGGAGGGAGTTTATAGGGATGGAGTTGGCAGGAAGGTGGGAGGGGGTGTGAGGCAGGGAGCGCTGGTGTGTGGGGACGGCATGCTGGTGAGCTACGCGTGGAAGCGCCACATCGCTGCTCATGCTGCCACCACCGCTGCCAAGCGCACTGGGTGAGCACGGAGGGGCGCGTGTGCTGTGTGCTGTGTGCTGTGTGCTGTGTGCTGTGTGCTGTGTGCGTGGTGCGTGCGTGCGTGCGTGCGTGCGTGCGTGCGTGCGTGCGTGCGTGCGTGCGTGCGTGCGTGCGTGCGTGCGTGCGTGCGTGCGTGCGTGCGTGCGTGCGCGCGTGCGCGCGTCCGCGCGCGTGTTTGTGTGCTGCGTGCGTGTGTGTGTGCTGCATGTGTGTGTGTGCTGCGTGCGTGTGTGTGTTGCTCCTCTTCCCCGCTGCTCGCCATCTGCCTGGAAACCCCACCAACTGCTGCTCCTCTGCGTGCGTTATCTCAATATCACACCACGGCCACTCACCTTTCACCCCTCGTCTTTGCTCCCTCTCTCATTCCGCATTCACATCTGTGCTTGCTTCCCGATTCCCCCCTCTCCCGTCCCCCCTCTCCCGTCCCCCCTCTCCCGTCCCCTCCTCTCTCCCCCCACCAGAGTCGCCCTCGCAGCATTTCAGCGCCACAGGCAGCGCTGCTTCCCGGCCCTCGCGCCGCCGCGTCTCACGCTTGCTGCACTCGCCCGCCACCTCGCCCAGCGACCCACAGCCTGCCTTGCTGCCCCCGGTGCGGCCCATGCCACAGCACCTACTCCTGCTGGTCATGGCGCGCCTGCAGTCGCGCTGCACGACGGGCCCACCAGTGCTGGCGCTGCTGAGGCTGCTGCTGGCGGCTCCGCTGCCCCGACTGCTGATGCTGCTGGCGGCAGTGCGGGTGTGAAGGTGGAAGGGGCAACAGTGGCTGGGGGAGAAGGGGCGGGAGGTGGGGAGGGAAAAGGGCAAGTGGAGGCAGCAGGCGCAGGTGCAACTGGCCAAGGCACGTGTGCTGCCACCGATACCTCTGCCCCTGCTGTTGCTGCAACAAGCTTGGAAGGAGCAGCAGAAGGCACCTCTGTCAACACAGGTGCTTCTGGGGAAGGTACATCTGCCGCCGCTGCTGATACACCCGCTGCCGCTTCCGAACCTGGCCGCGATGGTCCGGGACCAGGGTTGGGCCGAGCCACCCCATCAGCAGGCTTGGGGGTGATGGGGGCGCTAGGTGCGGTTGGACTGGGTCGGGGGAGGGTCGGGGGACTGGTTCGGGGCCTTGGGGCGTTTGGGCGGATGGGGGGAATAGGAGGCAGTATAGGGGGGAGTATCGGGGGAATAAGGGCAGGGGTGGGGGGAGGGAATGCGATGGAGGCGGATGACCTGGGGGGGGGCGACGAGATGATGATGCTGGGGGGGGACTTTGGCGGCGATGACATGGACGTGGATGGGCGCGGCGCGGGCGATGGGGGGGACGGAGGTGGTGCACGGGGCGGGGGACAGGGGGAAGTAGGAGGAGCGGGGGGAGAGGGAATAGTAGGGGAGAGGAGTGAAGGGGAGAGGCCAGTTTCTGCTGCTGGGGAAGGAGGTAGGCTAGAGGGCGACGGGGGTGGGGCGGAACAAGCGGAGGGGGTAGTGGCGAGGGGAGGTGAATGGGAGAGTGAAAGTAAGGCAGGGGTAGGCGGTGTTGGTGGCGGGGAACGAGCACGGCCCACGGGTGGGGTGACAGGAGAGGGGGTGACAGGAGAGGGGGTGACAGGAGAGGGGTTGAGTGGTGCTGGTGCTGGTGGTGCTGGCGATGTGGGTGGCACCGGCGACGCTCATGGTACCGGTGGTGCTGCTGATGCTGATGCCGATGCAGCGGGAGGCAAGGGCGTGAAGAGGAGGCGGGGCGAGGGGGATGGCGGGGAGGGCGGCATGGAGGGGTGCAGCGACCCCGTGCTGCGCGGTGTGCTGCAGCGCGTGCGCGTGGCGTGCCCCTCCCTGCACCTCGCCCTGCTGCGCCACTCCTCCTGGCCGGCCCACCTCATGGCGCACTCCGCCTCATGCGCTGCTGCTGTGCTTGATGGGGGGGGACGGGCAGGGCGAATGGAGAGGGGGGGGAGAGACGAGGGAGAAGAGAAGAGGGAGAACGTGAAGCAGGAGAAAGTGAAACAGGAGAAAGGAGAGGCGGCAGAAGAAGCACCCACTTCAAGGAAAGCTCTTTTAGAATCTTCCTTGTTGCAAGCCTCGCCGGCTCACAGGCGAAGACTGGGGCATGGGGGAGCCCAGGTCGTGTGCCCACCAGGAGTGCTTGAGGCGAAGGTTCCCGGGGCCTTCCGTGCAGTGATCTCCCTCATGCCAGCTGGCAGCTCACGAGTGGATGGGGTCGCTGTGTTTGGGACATACGAGGTGAGTGCGTGCCTTGAGTGTGTCGGGTGTGTGTGGGTGTGTGTAGCGTGTGCCTCGAGTGTGTCCCAAGTGTGTGCCGGGAACGCATCACCCTCCCTGCTATGCGGGGAAATTGTTTGGTGTACGAACTATATGCCACCATACATACGCGATATGCTGATTTCTAGCATACAGTGTCGGGCAGGTAAAATAATAATATTTGGCTGGAGGTGGGACACGGTTTGTGTTTGGCACGAAATACCAGTTCCACGCTCTGGGAGCGAATTACCAGATGCGCACTCCTACAAGTGGTCACATGCATGTGAGGCTGTGCTATGTATCATCAGGGAAGTATGGATGCATTCAGCATTTGAGTTTGTGCCTTGCAAAATCGTGCAATTCATACTTTAAGACCTTTTTAGTTTTTCTATTTTTTTCAACGGCTGCCCGACCGAGTGTATCGCGTATTTCGGCACGCATCACAAGTTTCCGTGTATGCGATAACGAATTCGCGTGATTCGTTTCTTACCCTGAGCTTTTTTTTTCAACATAGGCCCCCTTTCCCCTCCCCATGCGCCGTGCCATGGCAGGTGGGGCCGCATGTGCATGCATGGGGGCAGTCACACCACATGGCCTTCCAGCTCGTCACTGTGAGTAACCTCCCATGCAGCGATGCCATGCAGCGATGCCATGCAGCGTTGTCATGCAGCGTTGTCATGCAGCAATGCCAAATCCATTACCCATTCTCTGCTACTACACTCTCTCTTTCCATCTTCTTTCCCTCCCTCTGTTCTACCCTCGTTTCACCTATCTTCCCGTCTTCGATCTCCTATCTCTCCCCCCTCAGGCGCAAGCACAGCAAGTGGTGCACAAGCTGCGCTGTGCTGCCTCACCGCATCCCTCCGCAGCAGCGGGCAGCATGCCGCCTCTGCAAAGCCTGCTGGTGAGACCTCGTCAACCCGCTCCCTTCCTCCTGTGAGCTCATGACCTGGAACTATTGAATAGGTAACGTAACCTCTAGGTTGGGCTGGGTTGGGAAGGGCTAGGCTGGAAGAAAGGGAGGACAATATCCTATGGGACTGCCTGAATTTGGGCTTGGTCGCTGGAGAATCGGGTAACCACGTCTGGTGAGCATCAAAGGTTGTGAAGTGGGCAAGCCTTTCTTGAACGTGTAACACACAAGGCACACCACCACGATTATTCCAGCAAGCGGCAGCACTAAGAGGTGCGGTTCGGCCCAACGCAGCCCTTTTGCACCGCTGCTTATTCCCTCAGCTAACATGCCTGCTGCGACCGCCACTACTCTTTCCCCTGCTCTTCCCGCCGCTCTGCTAGGCGCTCCTTCTGCGTTGGGCCGAACCGTGCCTCTTAGTGCTGGCGCTTCATGCAGGGAAGTAGGGCAGCAGACAATGGGGTGGAGGACGAGAAAGAGCACTTGTGATTCACTCTTGCCTGCTGCATTTGTGATCCACTCTTGCCTGCTGCATTTGCTCTGTTGTTCTTCCACCAGGAATGGCTGCACTCCTTCCGCACCCTCTTCCAGCAGCCCTGCAGGTGAGGCAGTGCAGGTGAGGCAGTGCAGGTGAGGCAGTGCAGGTGAGGCAGTGCAGGTGAGGCAGTGCAGGTGAGGCAGTGCAGGTGAGGCAGTGCAGGTGAGGCAGTGCAGGTGAGGCAGTGCAGGTGAGGCAGTGCAGGTGAGGCAGTGCAGGTGAGGCAGTGCAGGTGAGGCAGTGCAGGTGAGGCAGTGCAGGTGAGGCAGTGCAGGTGAGGCAGTGCAGGTGAGGCAGTGCAGGTGAGGCAGTGCAGGTGAGGCAGTGCAGGTGAGGCAGTGCAGGTGAGGCAGTGCAGGTGAGGCAGTGCAGGTGAGGCGGTGCAGGAGTGGCTATTCAACTCAAGCCTGTGGCGCTCTGCAAGCATAAGTGCAACTGTGCACGTGTTTCTGTTTCCCTGTACGCTCCCTGTTCATGCACCAAGCAGCCACCACCGCATTAATTGTTCTCTGGCCCATGCGTATCCGTTGTCGTCCTCCACCATCCTTGCACTCATTTCACTCTGCCTCTATCCTCAGCCCCTGTGCTGCAGAAACTGGTGCTCTCCTCTCCCTACTTTCTATCATCTTGTGTCGGTGCTGACAGGAATACTGCCTCATCCGCATTTTCTTTCTTTCCCACCGCCTCCCCAACCCGCGCATCCCATGCACGCACCACAGCACATGTCATCGCATCATCGCGCTGCACCATCCCTCCCGCCAGCTGCTACCGCCACTCATCCGCCCCTTGCCTGCCCTCGCCTCTGCTCCTCCCGCTGCACCTGCCACTGCTGGCACTGCCTCTGATGGTGCTGCCACTCATGCCTCTCCCGCTGCTGCTGCTCATGCCAGTGTTGCTTCGGAAGCTGTTCAAAGGGCAGTGCTGCTGGTGGAGAGAGCAGGCATGGGGTCCGAGGAGCCAGTGGGAGTGGTTGCATGGCACTTGGGATGTGCTGCTGTTCCCTGCTTGTAACACCGTACAAACAATATGAAAGGTTCGACTCATCTGGAAGGTCATTGGGGCAAGTCTCGTGTCATAGCGATCAGTTACTAGACATACCCCATTGCAAAGCTTTGTTTTCAGGGTAATTACTATATTCCTTCGAGAATCACAGCCTAGTTTATGGATCACACCATACCATATCCATCCATATTAAGGCCCTAAATTAGCTACAACACGAGATTTCAAACACCCTATCAACACACCCCACTGCATTGACCAGATTGGCGTTATACCATTTCGGGTCTTTACCAGATCCTTCTACCATCCCCCCTCAACAACAAAGGTACCACCAAACCAAACCCCATCATAGCGCCAGCCAGCACACACCAACCTCCACACGCGCCTGACATATTTCAAGCCCACGCCCGTCCCAGAGCTGCTATTAGCAGGAGAAGCTGGAGTTGAGCAGAGCCCTCACTCCTGACCTTCACCTTCTCCTGCTGCTGCTGCCGCTTCATCAGGTGCCGCTTCCTCGCCTCCTGCCTGCTCTTCCCCCCCCACCTCAGCAGCAGCATCAGCCGCCACTTCCTCTGCCACGCCTTCAGGAGCCTCTGCACCCTCGGCACCCTCGGCAGCCTCTGCAGCCTGTGTGGGAGCAGCATCTTCTGCCCGTCCCTCAGGCTCAGTGTCAGCAGCATCGGCAGAACCAGCACCATCGCCAGCAGGGCCACCATCAGCACCAGCAGCAGTGCCATCAGCACCAGCAGCTGCAGAAGCTGCAGCAGCGGCTGCAGCCTCAACAGCAGCAGCGACGAAGTCGTCAGCATATGCCTCGCCCTCCCTCTGCCCGTCTTCCTCACCCACTGCAACAGCAGCCCCCTGCTCCGCCTCAGCGTCCGTCTCTCCATGTCCTCCCCTGTGATCATCACCCGCATCACCTCCCACCCCATCATTCCCCCCCTCCTCTGCCTCGCCACGCTCACCACCGCCACTCCCTCCTTCACCAGTCAGGCTGCTCGCCACAGTCTCTGTTTCGTCTTGCTGCATCTGCTCGCCATGCCCTCCCTCCTCGTCGTGCTGTGCCTGCCTCTTGTGCGCCTGCTCCTCCTCGTCCCCCACCTCCACCTCCTCCACCTTCCTCTTCACCCCAACCATCCCCTCCGCAGTAACCCCTCCGTCCACTCCTTCCCCCACAGCGTTCGCCTGCTCGTTCGCGCCACCACCGTCCACCCCCGCCTCTTCCCCTTGCCCCGCCGCCGCCTCACCTGCGATCCTCCCCTCGCCCTCTCCTTGAGCAGCAGCGCCGCTCATCACGACCTTGTCCCACACCATGGGCTGCTCTTGCGCCGCCGCCACCTCCGCGCTCCGCATCGCCTCGCGCAGCCACGCGTGTCGGTTCCGCGCCGCGTTCGGCTGCGTCCACGCCAGCTGCCGCCGCCCCTGTCGGCCTTGCCCGGCGGCGGCACCCGCAGCGTACCCAACGGCGTCAGCGCGCGTGTCCAGAGCGCCCATGCCGGCCGCCGCGTTCGCTGCGCCAATCTGCGCGCCGTGTCCCCCCGCCGCGCCCGCACTGGCGGAGAAGGATCCGCTGGGCTCGAGAGTGATGCCCGGGTGAACCACCAGGTCCGATCCGACGGCGGGAGCAGGCAGCATGCCGGGCGCGCCGGCTCCGCTGGGGTCGTACTCCGCCACGGGAACGGCGACGGCGTGGTGCAACCCCGCGCCACTGCCGCGCCCGGACATCCCCGCGAACCAGTTCTTCCGCCCCCACTTGTGCCGCCCGCGCGAACCGAGGCCCGACGTGGGGCCCACAGGCGCCGTCGCCGTCTCCCCGCCATGCGCGGCGCCCAGCGCGCCCGCCGCGCGCTCGGCGGCGAAGACGGTGGTGTAGGCGACGGGGAGAGTGTCGTCCGCCACGCCGTCGCGCCCCATGGACGGACTAACGGACGCGGGCGCGAAGCGCAACGGCCGCGCGGGCGGGTGCAGCGGGCCGACGACGCCCGCCTTGCGGCGATTCTCGAGCTCCGCCTCCCACGCTCCGCGCAGCGCCGTCTCGCGCTCCATCCAGCCGGGCATGGCTCGGCGCGGCGCGAAAAGGCGGTCGATCTCGGAGTAAGCAGCCTCGAGGAAGAAAGAGACGACGTCCATCTTGGTGACCGTGATGCCGCCGCTCGCCAGCGACATGCACTCCTTGAGGCCCTCGATCAGCGCGAACAGCGCCGGCGACAGCCGCACCACCGCTTGCTTGCCGTCCGCGCGCTTGTGGTAGTCGCCCTTCCGCCGCATGGATGCGGTTAAAATGCCGGCGTTGCCGGCCATGGCGGCGTTGGGATCCATTCTGATGCCCGCGTACTGGGATGGGTCCATCTGATGTGCGCTTCGGAAATTTGGATCCAAAAAATGACTGCCGCTGAAGGTGAAATTGTTGTGTGAGCAATCCCTGGGGTAACTAAAGTTACGCGGTTGGAGATGCAGTTGGCGAGAGAGGATTCGTAGATCCAAAAGACACGCTGACAGCGAGCTACTGCGACAGTGGCAAGTACGAGGAGAAACGAGGAGCGGTTACCAAGAAACGAGTTGTGGAGAGGAAGCGAGGTATCTGTAGGAGAGTTGTATCTGCAGTTACCAAGGGCTCCTGGCTTGTCAAGTTACGCACTAACCCTAGGGTTTCCCTCAGGTGCTTCGCCTCACGTTACCCAACTAACCCGCTGCGGAGTGATGGTGGGGGGAGGAGTGTATTTCACGTGCGGTTGGCGCGGCGGAAGTGATGACATTCCAATGAGGGCTCCGCTCCACGAATGACTTGCCTGACTATATCGTCGCTGCCTGCGATGCCGTGCGAACACATTTTGCCGCGATGTCTTACACGGCCAATAGGAAATGCTGCGGGGGGAGACTTGGCGACGATCACGACCTAGTGAATGGATGGAGGGTCTTCGCGAGAATCACTTCCTCTTCGCGCACCGCAATTTCAGCAAGGATTACGCCTCGATCTGTCACAGGCGTTCTGGACCAATCACAAGGTGGATCAAGGCTCAGTTCGGCAGCCAGGGGGGAGCAATTTTGGTGGAAGGTTATCGGAAGGTGAGGCTCGCGTCAACCCAGGGTCAACGAATTTTGACCCTGGGTTGACTGCTCCGCGGAAAACCTGCGCCATGGGGGAACTGGCGCAGATTGGAGGGGGGGGATACGAAAAAGCGCCGCAGGATAGATGCACATTTGGCCTCGAATTCGCTAGTTCCTGGGCACTGTTGCGGAAAACAGAAACACACGCCCAAAAAAAAAAATAGAGCTTCGCGCACATAGCTGATGGGGAAACCCTATCTGAAGAAACACATCTACCTCCTCTCGTAGTATGCCGTGCTACTCCGTCTGACTCGCGCACTAAATTAGATAGCGCAGCGCATTTCACGCTATGGAGTACTCCACCACTCCTACTCCTTTCAACCCTCTCAACCTACGTATAAGCGACTTAGAGAGCAGCATAGAAGACGTTATTTTAGAAACAATATTAAATTTGATAGCCTCTGCATGGTGGGAATTCCTCTACGCCGCCACTACCAATGTAACGGATCTATGAAGAAAAAGGGCATTTACCCACTTAATAATAGGTTCTAATACAACCAGAGAGTAGCAGCTCCTGGAAAATGACTAAGTCTGAGAGTTGCTAGGAGATGCAGTCACAAACTGTGGAAGGTGTGTTGTGAAGAGAGAGATCCCATTTCCCAATTGATTAGTTGGGAGTAGGAAATGGAGAATGAGCCAAGAGGCTTCAGACCCCTTCCCTAGACCCCCTTGGGGTGCAACCACCTTCCCCATGGCAAGGAGGGGTGCACTCCCTTGGGCCTTGCCCATGTGGCAAAGGTTACTCAATGACATGGCACAAACAAAGGGATAAAATGCTGTGTATGTAATATGTTATCCCTACCTGTCATGTTTCAACTGGTTGCAATTCCAACGCAAGAGTTGTGTTGGACTTCGAATGTTTGTGATTGGTTGTAACTCCAACCAGCGGCGGGAAACTTCTCGACTCACTTTGTATAAAAGTGTTCTGATTGGTTGGCTTGCCAACCAGTTCGTTTCCCCGATTTCCAACCAGTTCAATTCCCCTTTCTCTTCCCAACCCAGGTTCAATGTATCGAGACTTGGGTTGGTGGGATTCGATATGTTACACTCCTCCCCCTCCAGCTGGCAACGTCCTCGTTGCCGTGGGGTGCTTCTTAGGACGAGTGCTACGAGCACGACGAACCACATTACGACCAGGGTCAACACCATCCGCTGGTTGTGGGAGTGCTCGCTGAGCCAGGTCTTCTATGTAAGACTGGACCGCAGTATCAGTCAAATGTTCTTCCGGCTCCCATGAGTTGTGTTCAGGCCCATAGCCTTTCCACTTAATGAGGAACTCTCGTACAGTCTTGCGGCCGCGTTGTCGATCACGGTGCAAAAGCACTCGTTCGACTTCATAGTACAGTTCCTCCCCTAGGACGATTGTTGGTGGTGGCAAGTACTTGCCTTCTGCAACGTACTTGCTTAACAGAGACACATGGAAGACATTGTGAATCTGCAGGGTATCAGGTAGCTTGAGCTTGTAAGCTACCGCACCAACTCGTTGCATCACCTCGAAGGGCCCAATCCAGCGAGGGAACAACTTTCTCGCACCAGGGATCTTAAGCCGAATATTTTTCGTGCTTAATAAAACTTTGTCTCCAACGGAGAGCGATACTTCCCGGCGTTTCATGTCGGCATAGGATTTTTGTCTTTGTTGGGCCAACTGCAGCCAACGACGTGCCGACTTTAGGGCCTCTCGTTGCTTGCCCACAAAATCCTTTGCGGCAGGTAATTTCAAACCGCCGATCCCATGCGTAGCAGGTGTTGTGGGATGCCGACCACAGTTCAGGATAAATGGTTTTTCATGTGTGCTATCATGCACTGAGTTGTTAACCGCAAACTCGACCATGGGTAACAACTCGTCCCAATTGTCCTGTGTTGGGCTTATGAAAGAACGAAGCATCTGCTCGAGAGTGCGGTTAGTCCGTTCCGTTTGGCCATCAGTCTGGGGATGGAACGCTGACGACATCTTAAGCTTCGTTCCTAGTGTCTCGGTTACTTCACGCCAGAATCGGCTCGTGAAGCGCGGGTCGCGATCAGACACTAATACACGTGGCAATCCGTGTAGGCGGAACACATGTGTCACGAACAACCGAGCAGTATCCTCTGCTGACACGTCTGTTGTCGTGGGTACGAAGTGCACCATTTTTGTAAGGCGATCTACGAAGACGAGTATCGCCGTATACCCATCACGGGTTCTTGGGAGGTCGGTGATGAAATCCAGTGAAACGCTTTCCCAAGGTTCACTCGGAATTTCAAGTGGTTGAAGCAAACCACCAGGCTTCTGTGTGTCCGGTTTGTTACGTGCGCACGTGTCACAACGTGCCACAAACTGTTGGACATCACTACCGACTCCAGGCCACCAATATACATCGCGTAAGGCCCACCGGGTCTTATTCATGCCCAGATGTCCCCCGTATTTAGTGGCGTGCACCTCTTCCAAAATATCGTTCCGTAGATTGCCTACATGAGGTACCGCAATCTCTTTTGTTCGCCACCAAAGATCGTGTTCCCAAGTCAAATGCTTAGTGTTTTGTGGGTTCTGGAACCAGGAATCGATATGATATCCTGTGCGAATTCGTTTCAGAAAACCACTGAACGCGATCTCGCTCACTTTCGCCGTAGCTAGTATACTAAAACAGGCAGCAAAAACAGCCGCATGTTCGGTATCGTCAAGCCCAGTTGCTGCCCCTATCGGCTGTCTGCTGAGGGGGTCAGCCAGGTTCGTCGAACCCGCACGATAACGAATGTCGAAACTGAACCCACTGAGGAGTTCAGCCCAACGGGCCTGACGGCGAGTGAGGGTAGCTTGGGTAGAAAAATATGTGTTCGGACAATGGTCAGTGGTGACCACGAACTCTACCCCTTCCAAATAACATCGCCATGTTCTTAGCGCATGCACGACAGCCAACAATTCCTGTTCGGTAGTCGTGTAGCGTTGCTCTGCCGGGGAGAGTTTTCTACTCTCGAATGCCACAGGGCGTCCATCTTGCAGGAGTACTGCTCCAAGTCCCACCGTTGAGGCGTCTGTAACCACCTCATATGGTTTCTGTAGGTTTGGCAACGCCAAAACTGGTGCGTTGGTTAATTTATATTTAACCTCCTCAAAGGCCTTTTGGCACTGTGGGGTCCACTCCCACGCACACCCTTTCTGGATCAATGCCGTGAGGGGAGCGACTATCGTGGAATAATTTTCCAAGAAGCGACGAAAATAATTCGCCAGGCCCAGGAATGATCGGACTTGGCCAACGTCGCGTGGGACGGGCCACTCCTGGACAGCTGCTACCTTCTTGGGGTCCACTTTCAACCCATTATGCCCCACCACGTGCCCCAAATACTCTAGCTCACGCTTGTAAAAATGGCATTTCCACAAACGCGCGTAGTATTTGTGCTCGCGTAATTTTCCGAGGACCCATTTTAAATGTTCCGTATGCTCGTCTTCGGTTTTCGAGTATACCAGGATATCATCGAGGTACACCAAGACGAACTGGCCAATCGCATCACGAAACACATCGTTCATCGCCCTCTGGAAAGAGGCCGGAGCGTTGGTCAAGCCAAAACTTAACACACGCCACTGAAAATGGCCGAACGGCGAACGGAAAGCCGTCTTTGGAACATCGTCCTCTGTTATACGTAGTTGGTGATAGCCTTGCGCCAAATCCAATGCACTGAACCATTGCGCACCCTGTAGTCGATCAAATAAATCTTCTATCCGCGGAAGTGGATATCTGTTTTTGATCGTAATTTTATTCAGGGCTCGATAATCGACGCACATGCGCAGTCCGCCCCCTTTCTTGTGAACGAACAAGATAGGTGCTCTGTATGGGGACGCCCTGGGTTCTATCCATCCCTTCCTCATGTATTCCTCAATCTGTTGTTTAGCCTCCTCGTACTCAGCTGGACTGAGGCGATACAGAGGTCTAAATGGTGGTGCCTTTCCTGGTTCCACCGGGATGGTATGGCCGACTGCACGGTCGGGAGGTAACCCGTCCGGAATTGGCTCAAAAACCTCAGAATATTCCTCTGCCAACGCCTTCATTTGAGGTGGGAAATCTTCAATAATCTGTGAAGTAGTTGGTTCGGAGTCTAGCTGTACAACAAAAAGTGTATCAGCTACCTTGACATGCTCTTTGAATTGGAGAGCCGACGCAAAGCGTACGTCAAGAGCTAATGTTTGAGGTTTGTCGTCCAGTGCTTGGCGCTTTGGGACTTGCCATTGAAACGTCGTCCCATTCTTTGTGAAGGAAAGCGTGTTATCTTGGAAATTTAAGATCACCTCATTAGGCCGCAGCCAATCCATTCCCAAGACAATGTCTACGCCTGCTAGGAGGGGTAAGAGAAAAACGTTAATAGTCTCCTGATATCCTTGGATATCTAGGTTGACCAAGGCATGTCCTCTGCATGGGATGACCCTGTCATCTCCCAGACGGATAGAGCACGATGGTCCTTGAACAGGCACATTCAAATACCCCATCCATTTCTCATCGATCAATGACGCAGTCGCTCCTGTATCAACCAGGATCGAGGCACTGCGCCCGTTTACACGACCAGAAAACAAAAGATTTTGCTGATGTTTAGGTCGAATAGGACATGCCGTGATGTCAGTGGGAGGCAAATAATATGCCTTAATGCCGTGCTTGCTGCGTCCAAAAGAACGAGCTTGTGTCCACCACACATGGTGTCCTTTATCCCACTGCGCTAACACGCTCCATCCTTGAAGTGCTCGAAACAATTTACCTCGAACTGTGCGCGTTACCATTCCAACCGCAGTTAGAGGGTGCGCTTGGGTGCAACGACCCACGACGTCCATTATCCAAGGCAAATTATGGTGATCACAAAATATAAATAAGAATTTATCTCTTAGTGATTCAACTGTGATATTTTCCAGTGGGTGAAATCGAGAGGCAAATAAAGAGCTTTCATTAAAAGAAAATGCATACACACATGCAATTTTGCAATCAACAAGGCACTCGAGTTTCAACAACTCCTCATCCCGCAGGACCACTGCCTCATCCTCTCGATCTGCTATGCCCGCTAGGTACCCACCCCCTAGTTGGGCTTTGCAAAATCCCGCTGGCTGCCCGAGGGACCACTGCCGTCATTGCGCTTGTTGTCCGTCTTAGCCTTGCCAGAGTACTTCACCGCCTTGCGGTGGCGGCACTCATAGCCCTTGTGTCCAGGCTTGCCGCACTTGAAGCAGCTCTGGACATTGCTTGGTCCACCCTCGTTGACCTTCTTGGCCTTATGGTCAGCCTGCTGCCCCTGCTGGAAGGGCCTCTTGTGGTTCCCGCCCTTCCAAGGCGTCCCTTGCTGCATTCCGCTAGGACCCGCAGTGCTAGACGACGGCCTTGAAGTCTGCTGCGGCTGGGTAGTGGTTTTGGCATAAGCACGGAAATGCTTATCAGTGGTCCCCACCACGCGCTTCACGTGATCATAGGACCGCCATGCCTCCCCAGCCCCATCCGTCATATGCATGTTCTTGAGGTGCTCAGGCAACCCCCTGAAGAACAGGTGGATCTTTTCGCCTTCGCTCATACGTTCCGCCGGTTTCTGGAGCACCCAGATCTCCTCGAACTCCACGGCGTACTGCTGCACTGTGCGGTTCCCGCACTGCAGCTTCTCAAGGCGACTGCGCACCTCCAGCTGGGTCGGCTGGACCTGAAAAGCTTGCTTGAGCGCAGAGGCAAATTCCTCCCACCCAAACGGCTTCCTATCCGCCTCAGCCTGGATCTTGCTGCCATACACCACTCGCTGTGCATTCTGGTCCAGCACGGTGGTGGCAGCGACGACGCGAGCGTCGTCTTGGACCTTGTGCGCCTTGAACAGGTCGGTCATCATCGACAGCCACGCAGCCACGTCCGTCTTGCCATGGATGAATGGCGGCAGGGTGATTGGCAGAGAGCCAAAGGCCTGCGTGCTCGGCTCAGCAGCGCGCTGCGTAGAAGGACCGGGGTCACCCACTGCACCACCAGAGCGAGAAGGGTTGGTGCGACCGCTAGCAGAGTTGGCGGGCGGGTCCGCTCGCGGTGCAGGGCGATACATGGTCTCCCTCCGAAGGGCGTTGAAAGCCTCGCGCAGATCGTTGATCTTTGAGGTCTGCCGCGCCAGCTGGTGACCTTGCTCCCGCGCATCGTGCTTCATGTTCTTGAGCTCAACTTCCAGGTACTTGATTTTGTTGTCCTGGTCAGAGAGCTCCCCCCTGAGCGTGGAGATGAGAGACTGCTGCTGCTGGATGCGCGTATCCTGCTCAGCAGCGTGATCCTGCAGCTTAGCAATTTCAGCATGCAAAATATCCTCTTCGCCCTCCAGCTCAATGTCATCCCCCTGAGACTCCCTTTCCTGTTCCTTGGAATTTTCAGCAGCTGCAGGGTCCTTAGCAGAGGAGTTTTCAGCAGGTTCCTTGTCAGCCATTTCCTCATCCATGTTGTTCAGATCAATCTTCTGCACACAAGCTTCCAGTTCAGCCTGGGAGTTGTTCCCTTCAACACCTCCAGCATTGGAGTTGGTAGAAGCCATTGAGAGTCAAGTCACTGTATTATAAAAATGAGTTACAGATCTACTGCAAATTGTTATCACCGCAGTGAATAACCAAGATTTTCTCCAAAGGAGAAATTTCTTCAATAGATCTTACAACCACTGCAATATGAAAAACACCTCTGTTGCAAAATATCCTTACCACCGCAGTGGATAAGGCAAGAACAATCACAAAGTGATTGTCTTCAACAGAGAATGTTAATACACACAGGTCCTTCACAGTAGCTCCAATGGTTCCACCAGCAGGGAGGGAGGGAGGGCTGAGAACTCTTGGAGAAGCTTCAAAGTCTTGAAAACTTGAGCTTGAGCTTGTAGTCTTCAAAAACTTTATAATAGAGATTACAATACAATCACAACTTCTCCAAAAAAAAATCCACAAAATCCTCTTATATGCCCACAAGGCGAGGATCTACTAATAGCTCTGATACCAATGTAACGGATCTATGAAGAAAAAGGGCATTTACCCACTTAATAATAGGTTCTAATACAACCAGAGAGTAGCAGCTCCTGGAAAATGACTAAGTCTGAGAGTTGCTAGGAGATGCAGTCACAAACTGTGGAAGGTGTGTTGTGAAGAGAGAGATCCCATTTCCCAATTGATTAGTTGGGAGTAGGAAATGGAGAATGAGCCAAGAGGCTTCAGACCCCTTCCCTAGACCCCCTTGGGGTGCAACCACCTTCCCCATGGCAAGGAGGGGTGCACTCCCTTGGGCCTTGCCCATGTGGCAAAGGTTACTCAATGACATGGCACAAACAAAGGGATAAAATGCTGTGTATGTAATATGTTATCCCTACCTGTCATGTTTCAACTGGTTGCAATTCCAACGCAAGAGTTGTGTTGGACTTCGAATGTTTGTGATTGGTTGTAACTCCAACCAGCGGCGGGAAACTTCTCGACTCACTTTGTATAAAAGTGTTCTGATTGGTTGGCTTGCCAACCAGTTCGTTTCCCCGATTTCCAACCAGTTCAATTCCCCTTTCTCTTCCCAACCCAGGTTCAATGTATCGAGACTTGGGTTGGTGGGATTCGATATGTTACAACTACCGTGACCTATGTACGTTATTTCCCCGTGCCTAAGAACACCTCACAGTTGCAAGGCCTCGCCTATATGCAAGAGCTCACTCACGGCCATCCGTCTCGCATTCATGACATACTCCGAATAGAAGCTTATTTACTGGACATTTTAGTAGCTCGTTTAGAACAAGGTGGACGGTTACCAGGGAATAGCTCCTTAAGTACGCATGAGCAGGTCATGATTTTCTTGCAACGAATAGGGCAGACCGCCACCAATCGGGTTCTGCAAGATAGGTGGCAGCATTCCGGTTCTACCATAAGCCTTATTGTGGAACGCGTCACGAAAGCAGTGTGTGCGTTGAAGCCAGAGTTGATTAAGATGCCAACTAGTAATGGGGCGGCAACGCACTGCCCACCACGTACGCCATACTCCCTCTCCCACCTCTCCCACCTCTCCCTTCCCTCCGCCCTCTTCCTTGCCTTGTCATCCCCTCCGTTCCCTCTTCCACAACAGCCATGGGCCGGCAGCGCACTACCCAGCACATACGCCATCGCCAGTGTGGAGTCCCGCGAGACCAAAACGTCCCTGCGCCTGCGACTGTGCCTGGAGGACCCCTGGCAGTGGGCGGACCCAGGGGGCCCACCCAGCACCGCAGCAGCAACTGACGAGGAGCAGGCCGCAGAAACAGGGCCAGGGGGGGCGGGCACAGAAGCAGGACTGCCCCAGGGGAAGGCGCAGGGGAAGGGGAGGAGGTGGGGGGTGCGGAAGCGGGCGCGGGCAAACCGGATGCTGTCGTTCCTCATGGGAGCGGCAGCAACAGGGGGCAGTGCGTGTTGGGTGAGCAAGCTGTGCAACACGTCCACCATCTCCCGCGAGTATGCTGCCCTGCGCTCCGCCCCCTCCCTGCCCTACATCCGCACCGTCCTCGCCTCCCACATGCCCGGCCACGCACACGGCCAGGCCGGCACGGGAGGAGCAGGAGGAGCAGGAGCGGGAGGACGAGGGGAGGAAGAGGAGGAGGGAGGTTAAACCTTGAACTAGTGTTTTCAAGATTAAAACTTGACGAACTAGTGTTTTCAAGGTTTGAAGAAAAGCGTGCCTGCAATTTGGGACTTTTGGGAACTGAACCAACCCCCAGGGCGAAATACGAGGGCGGGCTGGGTTTGGCGAAAAAAACGAAAAAAGCGAAATCGGAATCTTTCGCCAAAACCCTCACCACAAAAACCCCCTCGCGTCAACCTTTTAAAACTTGTGCAATTTGGGCTGCCGGCTTTAATACCGGCATGCACATCCCAAAATATTTCGCCAGAGCTACATTGTAGTCACACCGTAGCTGCATGCGAGATGCGATGCACCCACAATGCCTTCGAGTACACTGTACTTCTAGGTTCTGCTACAAACATTTTACTTCGAATCTGATAGGGGGTGGCAATAGGGTAACCACATAGTAGCTGCACCCAATACATGTACTGAAACCACATTGTAGACAATCTATATTTACTACCAAGCCAATCCCTAGCCAAGCATGCAGTAAGTACATAGTAATTGCAAAGTGCTTTTACAGCAAGTTCAGGCATAGCATTTCTAATATTCAATTCACGATTTCAGCTTATGAAATGCTTCCAACAAAAGGAATTGAAATCCAAGAAATGTATAGAACGTTACAAATAGACATACTAAAACAACCAACTTCGTAAACACTAAGGAATATCTTTACGTAGAGTGGTCCTATAAAGTGACGGAACCTGTAAGCAACAAGGGATAAACACATCCCTGCAAAAAAAGAGTCACTAATCAACATTTTAGAAAGCGCAAGTACTTACCCGGGTTCAGCCACCACTTCCTTGAAAACATCATGATCCAACAGTAAGCAACTGATATAAAATCAACATAACAGCACATTCTGCAAGGTCGAACCCTTAGCCTGCAAAATTCTAACATACATGCACCGTTAGTGTTAGGATGAAAGACAGAGCAAATGTCCAACCTCCTGCAAAATCGCACATAGGTGAACCGTTAGTGTTACGACAAAAGACAGACAGGCGCCACCAACAAATACAAGAACCGTTAGTGTTAGGAAAACAAGTAATACAATGCTTAATGTAGTAACAATGCGTGCATGCACCTCCTCGGGCTTCCCTTACGCGCGCATGCTCCGCACCGCACCGAACGCGCGCGCCACGTCGCGCAGCCGGCGCACGAGCAAAGCGCAGTCGGCGCCGACGGGCACTGGGCAGTTCTCGTAATCCCTGAACACGCCCAAGCCGGGCGAGCTTGTTGCCGACCCCGATACCGGTTGAAACGAGTGTGACGGTAGCGGGGGGGTGTGAGGGTAAGGTGCTGGAGCGGGGAAAAGAAGCAGGTAGGAAGGGGAAGTTGGGAAGGGATCACTTGGAAATAAGGGTTGCTGGAGGGAGGGTCTATCTCCAAGCAAGAAAGCTGTCTGGAAGCAGAGAAATGAGAGGAGACGACCAAGGTTGGGTTTGGATGTACTCAGGGATGTGTGTGTGTCCCCGCCAAAATCTGGACTTGAACCAATCGGAATCTGAGTAGCATTATCTTGTTCTTTCATCTCTCGATCGTGGCCTTTGAATGGCAGTTGAATCGACGGATGACGTTCCAACCAGATCACATCTCACGTTCGATCGTAGCCATGGAAACTTGGTTTAGATCGACGGTTGAGATTCCAACCTCTTGGAAATCTCAACAAATTCGAGAATCTTTTTTAGAATACACATGTGAAATCTTGACCATCCAGCGAAATTTAGATCGACGGTTCTGTTCCCAGCTCGGATAACTTTTATCCGATCGTAACCGTTCGGAGAAAGGCCAATCGACGGTTAAGATACAAACTGACAAGATCTTCATTGTTTCAAACTCTGCGCTCCGAATCGATCGCAACCGTCAATTTCGAGTATCGACGGTTCTTGTTTTTTGGTGGCCGAAATTCTCTCCAGCTGCTTTCTTGCTTTGTGTTAGATCGGATGCTAAAAAAAGAGCTTCTAACGAAATATTACTTGTATTTGTTTGACATTATACTGAATATTTCGACCAAGTTCGGAGGAAGTACAGGCCTGGTAGGTCCATTGTAGGTTTGGAACCCAACCTACAATGTACTCTCGAACATTTTGGATTCGCTCTGTCTTCAAAGTTGACACACAGTAGCCACTACCAAACCTTGTACATGCTACCTAGTTTACATTCGGTTAGGTTCGGCAAGCGTGGTCGGTACAAGGAACATCCAATACAATGTAGATTCAGTGCACACACATCGATGACACCCCGGCCTAGGGTTCGGAGTCCCTACTTCATGCCATGCTACCCCAACCCCCTCGAAACAAATTTTGGGATGCATTGCCGCTGACCGCCAACAGGCATTTAGGGATCGGCATGGCAACGTCTCGCAGAATGTGCTAGCTGTTTGCTCGTTCGATGACATTTTCATCTACGTTGTGGCAGGATGGGAAGGTTCTGTGCACGATTATGCTGTTTTCCAGGATTGTCTTGTACGAGGGCTGGCTTTGCCCACTGGATCGTACTTGCTCGCTGACTCGGGGTTCAGGAATGACGCTCATTGTCTCGCCCCTTACAGATCAGTGATGTACCATCAGCAGCGTTGGCAAGACGCCGGCATTCTACCCAGACGTAAAGAAGAACTCTTCAATCGGACGCACTCAACATTGCGTTCCCACATTGAACGTGCTTTTGGACAGGTGAATGCTCGTTTCCCTATACTACGGTTGATGCGGTCATACAAATTTTCTATGCAGTGTAAAATTGTAATTGCCTGCATGGTGCTACATACCTTTATAAAGAAAGGGGGTGGTGCTGATTTTGATGACGAGTATGTGGGTATGAGCGCTCTTGACACGTCCATACCATGTCCCGACAGATTAGACATGACTGCCCAGGCGTCTGCCGAATTTGGCCGTAGGCGCCGCGATGAGTTGGCAGAGGCGTTGTGGGATGGGAGGCGTGTTGGGGGTAACGCTCAGGTGTAGGTGTCTTGTTGCCCTTGCTTTTGGAAATTGGATTGTATGGTGTAAATATATGAATAGGGTCAGAATGTTTTCTAATTATACGTATGTTTGTATTTGCTCTACCAAAGCATTTTAGCAAATAGGCATAGAAACATGCCCAAGAAATACCCCCAGGCCTCAGATACACCCATGCGCATATTATCGTACTGTTTTGGATCCAAAAAAAGGTATAACAAACGGCGTGTTTCTGTTCTAGTTTGGGACCCATAAAGCATTTCTCGCGATGTCCTATGTACGATCAGGAGCACATGCACGAACAAATCCCTCCTGCATGTTAGAATCTAGCAGCAGGAATGATGAACTAACAGCATGCAGGAGTACAAGTAGGAAACCCTAATTTGGTTGTACCCCATATGGGCTACCCCACTACAGCCTAGACAATATGCAGCATATATGTTTGACACACCCCCATAGGCAAAGTGGGGGAGAACAAGGGGTCACACGACCAGTCAAGAGACGCAAAGCAAGCTCAGGGTGGATCTCAACGTCACCACACATTCTGAGCACAAGCAAAGGGCCGCAAGGCCAGTCCACATGCAGAGATATATATAAGCAACAAGAGCAGTACAGTGATCAATACCTAGCAAGAGCAAGCATGCAGGTATAAATATAGAGCACAGTACACACAAAAGACTACAGCAAGTGTGGAAACGTAGGCACAAGGCCTAACAAAGTACAAAAGCGCTGATGATCACCAGACGGAAGTGCCTTGGTGAATATATCAGCAGTGTTGGCCCTAGTGGCCACGTGTGCAAGACGAAGCTGACCACGCTGCTGCAGCTCTCGAGCCAGAAAGTACCGCAGAGCGATGTGCTTCGTTCTGTGCTCCAGTCTGTGCTCCTCACACAAGGCAATGGCAGCCTTGTTGTCGACGTACAGCACTGGAGGAGAACGAGGCCGCTCTCCCAAGTCGGTTAGCAGGTAGGTGAGCCAGCGTAACTCCTGAGCAGCCATGGCGGTGGCGTAGATCTCAGCCTCACAACTGGAGCTGAGAACAGAAGACGAGCGAGTAGAACGCCAAGAAACAGAACCAGAGCCAAGGCTGAAAGTGTAACCCTGTGACGACCGCTGCGTAGCCTGGTCGTCAACCCAAGAAGCGTCTGAGTGCCCAGTGAGGACCACCTCTCGCCGTCCTCCAAGCACGAGCCCCATGCCCGATGTACTGCACAAGTAGTGCAGTACCCTCTTCGCAGCATCCCAGTGCACCTTTCGGTGCCTACCAGGAGCCACGTAGCGAGCCAGAAGGCCAAGAGGGTACGCAAGGTCAGGACGAGTGCAAGTCATCAGGTACATGAGGCAGCCCACTAGCTCTGGGTAAGGACCACTCGGCTCTACGGACTCATCCGAAGGCAGAGCTGAGAGCGAGTGACCTATAGCCAGAGGAGTGGCCTGTGCTGAGGACCAGGTGAAGCCGAAGTGCTGAAGGACCTGCTGCACCATGTGTGACTGAGTCAGTGTGATGGTGCGGCGTGCTCGGTCCCGGGTGATCTGCAAGCCAAGGTAGCTGCGCAGCTCACCCAGGTCTGTGCACGTGTGTCTCTTCTGCAGCTCGGACTTCACCAGGGCGAGGGCCTCAGTGTCAGTAGTAGCAAAGACCAAGTCGTCGACGTACACGAGGATTTAGAACGGCGGCAGCGAAGTGTCGGTGCGTAGAAACAGTGAAGGGTCAGCAGTCGAAGGTGCAAACCCAAGAGTCGTCCTCAGTGTGTCGTGCCACTCACGGGGTGCCTGGCGGAGACCGTAGACTGGCCGGCGGAGGCTCCACTGGGTACCAGGAGGGAACGTCCCAGTGAAGCCAGGTGGGCGGCGCAGCCAGATCTCCTCGT